CGTCATGACCGGCAGCGTCTTGATTACCAACGTATGTTGGATATCACTGTCATACTCTAACCTTCTTGACCCTGCTCACAACGTTGCAGGACTCGAACACGTACTCTGTGTCCATTGTCATCCACAACGCGGCCTGCATTACCTCCGGCGTTCCATACGCCGACTTCAACCTCATCCCGGTTACGCCCAAGAGCGTTTACCAGAAGAGCGGCAACTCCAGCCTCAGCCCTCAGGTGGCGGGCAGCATCACCGCTGCTCCCGCCGGGTTCTTCTCCCGTGACCCTTCGGACATCAACGTCGAGGGTCTGATCGCGTACACGGTCCCTGGCGTCGACGCCACCACCGACTCCTACAACCTGGTGGTGTACTTTGCCAGTATCAAGACGGCCACCGGCGGATACACGACCGTTGGGTTCGTGAACACGAAGACGCCGATCGACGAGGAGCTGCTGACGCAGATGAGCGCTACACCGTCGACCACGTACAAGACCACCGCGTCTTCGAGGCCGATGACGGTCGGCGGAAAGTCTTACACCTTCCAGGCGAGTATGGTTTCATTGCCGCAGTCGCCTCAGGTCCTTATCCTAAATACAGGCTTCCGTCAAAGGATTGGTCGTGGGCGACTACGGCTATGCGGTTGATGTCACCTTCTCGACCTGAATGCTGCCCGTGCGCCGTGGCGAATGTCTGGATACGCTGTGAATCCGGCGCTACATACTGAGATCAATGTATACGCGCGGAATGTCCTGGAGGTGTCGATGTATATGCACGGCCGCCCTGTAGCTAGTGTATCGCGTCACTTTCAATTATAACGGTTTTGATTCTTGGCATCACGCTAGTCGTATCATATTGGCGGGTTATCGTCCCGACTCCCCCGAAGGTGGGAGTTGGCTGTTGCACTGGGAGTTGTCACAGTGACAAGGGCTGTGACCCAGCCAAAGCGTGATGAAAGCGTGACAGAGCGTGATTCCGCCAGTGCGGGCGCCTAAATTGCGATGGACGCAGCAGCGTGACTTTTGAAGACGTGGGAAGGCTGACATAAGTGATGAGTATCAGTGCCGGAATCTGATTGATCACATTGCCGAGATGCCGTGATTTGATTCCCAGTGATCGTGTGAGACTTGAGTCAGTTACGTAAGTCTATTGGGGCCTGCGTTGGGCTTATGTAAGGAAATGACACTTTCCAAAATTGGGCAAGGCTGGGCGCTCATGAAGCCCACGTGCATTGTGTCATTCCCATGCATTGTGTCATTGTTCCCACTCGGCATAAGTTTGCAGATGACCACGGGCCTTCCCTGCTTCTGCACAACTGGCCCACCCTAATCCCGGCCACCCACTGTGTGAAAGCTGTGCTGCCGCACACAGTGGCGGGCAACATCAAGCTCACCTGGTCGAGTCTCAGCCTGTGGAGGACAGAAGTAAAGTGACTTGAATTGTAACACATAGACAGCTCTGTATAGCCACAATAGATGGCTATGCAATCACAATCATATGCTAGGATGTCTGAATGGATGGAGTCCTGTCTGTGGTTCTTGCTGGAATCAAATAGGTATTTGATTCTCACATGCATCAAATAGGCATATGATTCCCATATGCCTGAAACAGCTTGTGGCTGTGCCAGTGCCTATCTCAACACTCCCCCTGGCTTAGATGGTAGGCACATAAGTGTAATGAGGTGCTTAGGTGCAGCCATGGGGAAGGCAATCCTCAGTGTAATGATTGTCCCATGGTGTAGTGGTTTAATACATGCACTTTTTTCAGATGGTCCAGGGTTCAATCCCCAGTGTCTGCAGGCACATACGGCAGATTGTGAGTGTACCGATATGAGTGGCAATGCGAACTCATGCACGGCGCCTGCTGCGCTGCCTGTAGTCACCAGGAGGACAATTATTAGGGGATTCAATGCCATACATGATGCTACTTAGAGGTTATGTGAAGACACAACCTAGTTGTTGTCTGATCTTCAGGAACTTCTCATGTCCCAAGTTCTTTGTGAACATGTCAGTATGGCTCTCAGAATCTTCAATATAGAGCAGCTCAAGCTCCTTGTTGCCATGCTCATGAATAAAGTGATATAGCACATCAATGTGTTTGGAGCAGGGTTCAGTAACCATCTTAGATGCATTAAGTATCAATCCTTGGTTATCACTGCAGATGGATTATTGGTCAAACCGGTACCCCAGCTCCATGAACAAAGCTCTTATCCAGAGCATTTGACAATTACAATCAGCGAGTACCATATACTCAGCTTCTGTAGATCATAGTGCAACAGTTTCTGTGCTCATGATGTCTAGGAGACTATGCTGTTTGCCAATTTAATGAAGCACCCTGTGATAGACCATCTTTTGTCCCAAGAGAGATCCACTGCCCTTATGTCACATGCAGTCTCTGACCCATCTCCAACAATCAACTGTCAGACCTACAGCTCTGAGAAGTCAGATATCACATGTTCCAGTTCTCCGGCGACTCAACATCCCAGTAGTCCTTGATGCATCACGGATTCAACTCCAATGTTCATCAGCTTCTCCACCCTTATTATCTATCTTTAGTATTGCTTTCTCCACGTACCCTCTGGATCCCCAGACTGAACTTGTCCTGACTCCCCCGAAGGTAGGTGTTGGCTGTTGCACTGGGAGTTGTCACAGTGACGGGGCTGTAACCCTGCCAAAGCGTGATGAAAGCGTGATGAAGTGTGATTCCGCCACTGCAGGCGTTTAAATTGCAATGGACGCAGCAGCGTGACATTTGAAACAGTGGGAAAACTGACATAAGTGTTGAGTATCAGTGCTGGAATCTGATTGATCACATTGCCGAGATGCCGTGCTTGGATTCATGGTGATCATGCGAGACTTGAGTCAGTTACATAAGTGTATTGGAGCCGCATTTGGGCTTATGTAAGTAAATGACACTTTCCAAACTTGGGCAAGGCCGAGCGCCCATGGAAGTCCACATGCATTGCGTCATCGTTCCCACTTGGCATACAGTGTAATGGCACTCCTTGATGCACCCTCACTCCTTGATAGCAAACAGGGATTACACATAAACGACGAACTTTCATACCACAAGAAGAATTCAGCAGGTAGATGCATATATGTTGATTCTAGATCTGAAATATCTTCCAGATCGAGTCATTTCCCGATTTTTTAAAAATCAAGCATTGTTGAAATCAGGCTGTTTTGTGTGTTGATGGTATGATGCATGACCGATTGCGCACCTATTACTTACCTGATTGCAAGTAAAGCTCATAGTCATATATATATAGTTGTATACTCCATTTTTCATTAATGACCCAAGTGTATCCATCCATGAGAGTGGCCTATAGGACACCCTGAAGAGTTAGAGGAGGTCGGCCACAGCGCATGACATGCCTGGCTGAGTGTGGAAGCTTACCGGAGTAAGCCAGTGTTGTGATGAGCTGTATCAGGTGCGAAGACACTGCCACTGCATCAACAAACAAAATTCATTGTTCACCAACCTTTTTCTCGATTTGTCTGTCCTTAATGAGTCTCTCATCGATTTCACTCAAGAAAACTGCTACAGTATACCTCAAGTAACTGAAAGATACCCAGGTAGTCAGATAGCAGAAAAGTTTTATGTGGGAAGTGCAGGAGTGCCGCATTTCTGGCTGCATCAAGGAATGCCATTACACTGTACATCTGCAGATGACCCCAGGCCTTTCCTGCTGCTGCACGACTGGCCCGCCCTAATCCTGACTGTCTACAATGTGTGCAATTTAAATCTCGAGCCGTGCACGCTCTTCTTACAGCTGCAACACGCAAAACCTACAACACGTGCATACTCTTTGCCTACGACCTGGACACGTTGTTGTTTGACGTGCTGGACAACTCCCGAGGGAAGGGATGCACTCAAAGCCTTCCCTTTGTGACAGAAGTATTATTTTGTATGTAAAATAAGTATGTAACATCATAAAGAATGGATTATTGTACAGTTATCTCCGTAGCGCACTACAATATTGTACAACCATTTCCGTAGTGTACTATACTTGCACTTTACATTAGTGCACTTGAGAATCTTGAGTGGCCAGGGGGGGGGGAGTCGGGGACGGCGCTTGGCGCCAGCTTACCCACGTGGTATGATGACCTTCGCCAAGGTATTGAACGACTATTACCCGATTTGGACATCGGCCGTCCCGATCTGGAGGCGTCGATCTATGCGTTCATGAGGTCACCATGTCCAAGCGGACATCATCATAAGAACAACCAACAGTAGCACCAGGGAGACATTTCCACTTCAACCTCCTCGCCCTCCCCTAGTCCCCGTTCAAGTATGTTTTCTGCGTCTAGCAGGAGTTCGTTGATGTTTCGACCGAGGATGGGCGTAAGTGTTTGCCAGGGACCCAGACGAAATGTCATGACATTGCGCGATCACAAAGTGAGCAATGAAAATGCTTGAACTCAGAGGTCTTTTCTCGCTCATCGACGACGTTCTTGCCCGCAGTACACTGCACATGCAACAGCAGAAGGCCAGGGGCGTAACGGCCGAGTCAAATCCGACGACGACGACGGACTCTCCTTACGCCTTGCCATGCCAAAGTCGTTAGGTGGAAAGGGCGACGGACAGAATCCGGAGCAGGTACGCCGCGCAACCGCGGCTTTGAGGATTGCAGCGCGACTGACACTCATCTGACGATAGTTGTTTGCGATGGGTTACGCGGGTGCGTAGTAGCTCCTCAACGTCACGGCTGAGACCGAATTCTGCGCATTCAGCCTGCTTCCTGAGCGCGTTACAGCTCGTGGCCGGCCAGCGAGGGCAGTCAGAGTCAGCAAAGAACGCGAAGGTCCATGCCCAAGTCCATATGGGGCAGCCCGAAGCTGGAGAAGGATACGGTTTGGAAGTGCACATTCAGGTGGAAGGAGTCGAGGATAAGGATTTGATACAGGCGGGGCACGAGGTGCGTTTCCGTTGGGTGTGTCACGGCTGAGGCGCTTACCTGGCTTCGAACTAGGCGTGTCCGTATAGCAGGGCACTGAAGCATGGCGCCGTAGTCAAGGTGTCAAAGCAATAAAGCAGCATGGATCCTCATGCGTTCGCAATCGACTATTATCGTACGCCTCTTTCGTCGATAACGGCGGCTTATACGTCACACCACGAACGCGAGTTACAACATCGATCCTGCTTTCAGCATGGCAGTGCGTCGGGTTAAGTTCATGCCCGCGTTGGAGTCTCGAAGTTTGGAGTGCTGGTTGCAAGGGACCGCTTACGGAGTCGCTACACTGACGCATCCAGGGCTCTATCGATTTTCATCGGCGGCGTCGAAGCTGGCGTCGGGATTTCCCAAAAAGAAGACGACCGGGGTTCCCGAAGACGATGACATGGTCCAGGAACAAGGCGTCCTACAATGAGGTGAGGTCCGAGTCGCGCGGAAGAAAACATTGCCACGTGCCGGCATCCCGGCGCGCCCGCTATTGGCTCCGACTGCGTGGCGTTGCCCTAACTGTTGCTCCAACTGGTCAACCGCTCTGCCCGCAGCCAAGAAATGGGGTCCATGACACCCCACTCTGACGTATGACTGCGACCGATGAATTCTTATAAGCCGCAGACGGGCGCTCTGGGGAGGTTCCAGAACTACAACCAATCTCACATCCAACCTCACACCTTTTTTCTCTCGATTTTCTGCCTCTCTGTTACGACCCGTTACGACCTACAACTACCTTACGACGTCGCCTATTTACTCCATAAACGACCATAATCATGTATTCTACCCTTGCTCTCCTTCGCCCCGCCACTCGTGTCGCTACCGCTGCCTCCAGTGTGCGCTCTCTGGCCCATGCGTCTGGTGCGCAACCTGCGCCGGTCATGCTTAGGGATCAAATCGTGCGTTACCGGTGACCAGTTTCTTGGATTTTACTAACTCTTCTTCTGCCTCCAGTTTTTTGCCAAAGCTACGGCTGACGGTCCCGGACGCGAAGGTCACATCTTCGCGAACGGCGACTCAGAACCGTTGAATCTCAATATGGCCATCCCCAAGATGATGGGTGGTAAAGGACACGGTCAGAACCCGGAGAAGCTCTTCGCTTCGGGTTATGCTTGTACGTTCATTGCCACCACCTTCTGAATGTGAACTCTAATAACGGTCTTCTCGCGCAGCTTGCTTCCTCGGCGCGTTACAAATGGCCGCGGCGAGTTTCGGCAAGCCCGAGCTCGGCGAGAAGGCCAAAGTGCATGCCAAGGTCGTGCTCGGGCACCCTGACCCCGCTGCTCTGCCCGGCCCGCAAGACACCAAGCTCGGCGAGGGCCTTGGCCTCGGCGTCGAGCTGATAGTAGAAGGCATCAAGGACGACCGGATCATCAAGGCTGCGCATGAGTTCTGCCCGTATTCGAGGCTCATGCAGCATGGCGGCGACGTTTCAATCAAGACGCTCTAAAGAAGCTCTCCCGAGTCCGAAAAGGATGATTTTCACCCAAGCTGTACGATTGCGATTTTGGGGTCGATTATGCCATTGGACGCTATCCTTCTATTATTCCTCTCATAATACCCTGTGACCGATGTGCCCTCGCGAACTCGCTCGTTGGCAGATAACCAGATAACCAAATGTATGATGTGTATCCATACTGCACCGATGCTGTGTACCCTTGTATAACATGGTGTACGAGTAACAAATTATACTCCCGCTGGAACACCGGGCTCTGGAAAGTCGAACGCGGCCCGCGGCCCGCGGCCGGTAATCCGGTGAAGGATGGGCAATGGTCGAGATCGCTAGCTGCAGTGTACTCTTGACTGTCATCTTGGAGCGCCCGTCACCGCGATCACCGCAGCGCTGTGTTGCGATCACGTGTGATGCCATTTCGACATGGAAAGATCGGCACACTCGCATGTCTATGTGTGCCTACTGAACCGCATGCTCCCTTGAACACGACCAGGCATATATACCGAGGCACTTCAGCGGCGCATCCCAACATTCGACGAGGAGTTCTGTCCGAGGGGATCTCGGCTATATGGGCAACTTGAAGTCGTCGCTACCGCGGGGGGCTTCCCACAGACCTGGACCAAGGACCAATGGTCGCAGGGTCTGGCATTTCGCAGCGCTCTCTCTACTGGCCTTAGCTGCAATCAATCTGTACTTTGCTACAGATTTGCTTGGCTCGCCGAACGAGTGGCAAAACGTCCCGCGAAATGCTCCGGAAATCCTTGCGCGCTGCCGGACGCTGCAACTGAAGCCCGGCCCCGAACGCGACTTCTTCTACCGCGCGGAGTCGGACCGATTCGTCGAGGGCACGAAGCCCGTGCTCCTGCGGAATGCGACGATATGGACGGGGGAGCAGAACGGGACGGAAGTGTTCCGGGGCAACGTGCTAATGTCCAAGTGAGTGGTCTCCATCCCCTCGCGCTCTCGTGCACAGAGTTGAGACATGCCGTGGCGTATATAGAGGCATGATCAAAGCCGTCGGACACGTCGGAACTACCTTTTCCATGCTCCCGCCGGGCGACTACAAGGATCTCGTGGTTGTCGACCTTGATGGCGCATGGCTCACACCGGGCATCGTCGACTTGCACTCGCACATCGGCGACGGACCGTCGCCCGTGCTTTCGGGTTCCGAAGACTACGGTTCGCCACACGGCCCCATCGTGGCCTGGCTCCGCGCGCTCGACGGGTTGAACACGCACGACGACTCCTACCCACTGTCTATCGCGGGAGGAGTAACCACGGCATTAGTATGTCCTTCGGTCATATTCTGTTACAATGCGTCGAAACCTTATGGCCGGATCTTTTCTCAGGTCCTCCCTGGCTCGGGAAATGCCATCGGTGGCCAGGGCTTCCCTATCAAGCTCCGCAAGACGGCAGAACGCACGCCAACGTCGATGCTGCTGGAGCCGCCATATCAGATCAACGGAACGCTACCGCCTGGACGCCCCAGATGGCGACACATGAAGCACGCATGCGGTTCGAGCATTAGTTCTTCTCTAATTCCCCGTGTCTGGAGCTGACCTTGCTTCCACAGGAGAGAACCCGAGTAAGCAATAATGTTGACTACGCCCGATATTGTTCATGAAACGAGTTTTCAGGCTCGCAGTATCATCAGACCCGCATGGATACAATCTGGGCTTTCCGTCAGGCGTAAGTATCAGTTGGGTGATCGTGTTCACGCGGCTGATATATACCACGCCTTCTCAGATACGACAAGGCTCGTCAGATCAAGGAAGCTCAGGACGATTACTGCCACGCCGCCCTTCGAGGGCAGTGGTCCAGTCTTGCCGGTCGCGCCTTCCCAGACGAGCTGCAGTGGGAAGCAATGGTCGACATCCTGCGGGGCAAAGTCAAGGTGCAAGCGCATTGTTACGAGCCCGTGGACTTGGATGCCCTTGTCCGCGTACGTAGTCTTGGATTTTCTGGTGTTTCAGTCTTTCATTAATCCTTCGTTTCCTGGTATCGTGTAGATATCTAACGAATTCAAGTTCCCGATCGGTAAGGAGCAGCCGTTGTCGTTGGCAAGGGTGGTTTTCATGTTTTGCTCGCTGCAGCTGCGGTCCACCATGCCAGTTCTGCTTGGCTGGTACCCGACCTCCTGAAAGCATCATACGGTATGAATCATTCTCGGCATTCTTCCATCGTCTCCCTCATACCGTCAATCTCGTACAGAACACCCACCTGCTGTGGCGATGTTCGCTGCCAATTCCAGGTACGGCAGTGATCAAGGTTGATATCGCTGAGTATGTGATGACAATGTTCCAAACAGGTACAAACGGGAAGCATATCGCCATTCAGAATTCGGTCCACGCATCCTCGCCAATCATGGCCTCGATGTTGTCATGAAGTCCGACCACTCCGTCATGAACTCGCGGTATCGTACGTATACAGCGTTTCAAGATATGATCCACACGATGATTGACGTCTCCTTACAGTACTCTTCGAAGCCCAACAAGCGTTCTTCTACGGGCTTCCTGAAAACTTGGCCATCGCCTCCGTTACAAGCACTCCGGCTCGTATAGCGGGCCTGGATCACCGTGTCGGTTTCATCAAGCGAGGTTTGCCCTCCACCCGGTCTCTTGTATTCGGCAAGCTGAGGCTATTCTGTACCAGGATGGGACGCGGATGTCGTCGTCTGGGATTCGCACCCGCTGTCACTTGGCGCGACGCCGAAGCAAGTCTACATCGACGGCATTCCACAGCTCGCCGATCCTCAAGTAGTGCCCAAACCCGACCCTTTCCAAGTCACGCCCGAGGTGCCTAATTTCGACGATGACGTGAAGGAAGCGCTCGAATACGACGGTCTTCCGCCGCTCCGACCGCGACAGTCAAAGCGCGTCATGTTCATCAACGTCTCGAACGCATACACGCGTAGCGGCTCCGCGATCACCGAGGCGTTCTCAGCTGATGGTGACGGTCTAGGCGTCGCGTTCGTCGAAAACGGGCGATTGCTATGCATCGGCGCTGGCTGCCCCGCGTTCGCCGATATGGGCAATGTGGAGGTTGTTGACCTTCAGGGTGGCGCTATCCAGCCATCGCTCATCACGTACGGATCGCCATTAGGATTACTCGAGATGGAATCCGAGCGCTCAACCGCTGATGGTGCGGTACTCGACCCCTTGGTCGAGCGTGTGCCAGATATAGCGGGAGGCGATGGATCCGTCATAAGGGCGGTGGATGGTCTGGTGTTCGATACTCGCGATCAATGGTACGGTCTCTTGGCACAGACCTTCCCGGGTATTCACCTGTATACTGCGTGTTTAGGCACGCATACCGAGCGGGCGTAACGGCAGGCATAGCTTCACCGATTCACAGGTACTTCGCGAAGGGGTTGGGCACCGCGTTTTCCCTCGGCGCAGGTCACAAGCTCGAGGAAGGCGCTGTGCTTCAGGACATCGCTGCGTTGCATGTCGCCATCAATAACGGCTACGTTTTCGAAGCCGATGGGCCAAGCGTCAGCACCCAGATTGCGACGCTGCGACGTCTGCTTTTCGGACATGGGGAAGGTGATCTGGGTGCCCGCTTCCAGGAAGTCTCTGAGGTGCGCTGCGCCCGATTGAAGCCTCGGGACAGGTACTAAGAATAACGTTTTTCTAGGGAAGGATGACACTCGTCGTCGATGCCCAGAGCGCGGATATCATTGCTACATTATTGCGGCTTAAGGCAGATGTCGAAAAGCACACGGGCACGAGAATCAAGATGACGCTGAGCGGTGCTACTGAGGCTCATCTCCTCGCTAAGGAGATTGCTGAAGCGGGCGTCGGCGTCGTGCTCGTCCCTGTCAGGCCGTTCCCCTTCGTGTGGGAAACGAGAAGAGTGTGCGTATCGTGTAACCTTTACGCCCGCCCTCGCGATGCTGAAACCTTCTTTTACAGTCTTCCCGGCCCTCCTTTAACACCAAAAGGCCAAATAGGGACGCTGCTCGCTAATGGCGTCAAGGTCGGCATTGGGTGAGCATTCCTCTACCATAGGCATATTCGTCGGAGCTCATGACGCTGGTAGCATCATCGAAAAGTGGGAGGCGCGCAACACACGTTTTGACTTGGCCTGGGCGGCGCTGGAAGCCAACGGTACGATTTCAAGAGCCCAAGCGTTCGCGTTGGCGTCTTCCGACCTCGAGCAACTGCTCGGGGTGGATGCACACAATGCCATTGCCACCGACCACGTCGCTACCGTTGGGGGCGACTTACTATCCATGAACAGTAAGGTTGCTGGCGTGATATCGCCTCGCAAGGGCGTTGTGGATCTGTTTTGAGGCTTGACAGTCGGAATTTAATTGATAATTTATCGTGGCAATGGACAACGGGGATACAACATCAAAACAACACATGACTGAGAGCAACATTTCAATACAGTCAATTGATACAGCAATGCCTATTCAAGAGCACACCGCGTATAGTGAAGGAAGGCCTGGAAGAAAATGCATGAGCGCGGGTCGCAAAGGGTGCAAAATAGGAAGAGGGAGATATTTCAGTATTGCAGAAGTATAAAGTCCGCATAGCACTTGGCTTGGACTGTTGAGCTTGAATGTGACTTTTTGTTCATCACGAAAGGGGGAAAATATGACAGCATGCAGTTTTGCTGCTCACCTCACGCATCGCTCCGACCATGAACGAACTCGACACGCCTCCATGACATGCGAGCAACGCCTTCGATGTTGTGAGCGAATATCCTGACGAGAGCTTGTTAGCATACGGTATTTGACAGTCAAAGCAGAGTGCGTCAGTATTAGCATGGATGATCGTCAAAACATGTCCTTGAGACACGTTCAGGGCTTGACTTCTAGGTTGTTACATCCTCCGTGAGAAACAAGAAGTGAATCATTTGACTCACGATCGTATGTGCCTTCATGTGTGGAATCTAGGGAGAAGAGACGAAGAACGAGACATGGTGGATGTCATTGCGAGACCTCGCGCGCTCGCGAGAGAAAATAAAGGCAAGATCACGTGCTGCTCTCACGTTCACACGGGCAGGCAGGTGAATTTCGTCGACGACAAGTTCTGCCTTCAGCGCCGCGCCGGGTAGCTCTGAGCCTCTGCCCGTACGCACCCAAAGGAACCGACGAAGGGATCTCTTCCAAGCGCACGTCTCTATAAAGATGTGTACGCAGCGAGAGGCCAAACATTCGAGCAGGGTGGCTGTACAGTATCACTTACACAGGTGACCACAAATACCCAAGTAAATCTCCACCGCAACAAGCAGAGAGAACTCAAAGATGCAGGTGCTTATGAAGAGAACATCATGACATCACTGCACTGAGCTTGAATTACTTCAGGTTTGCGGTATAGCGCATATTGTTGTGTGCATAATACTGATATGTAATGTTATCTAATTTTTTGCTTTGTATTCAAGTATGCTTCTCTGAGTATGGCTTTCCGAGAGGTTTGAGAGAGATTGAGACGACGAGAGACGATGATGAGATATGGGTATTATGAGGAATCAGAATGAGCGACGAGAAGAATGAGAGATGATGATGGTAATGAGTGACTATGGACATGAAAGTCCGAAATGGAAACTGAGTCAAGTCCGAGAGACGAAGGCAGGGCCTCAGCCCTTTAGAAGTGCCGACTGAAGTTCATCGCCGGGCTCCGAGGTATGTCTGGAAGAGCGAACGCGACGACGGTCAGCCATTTGCTGAAACGTAGAATATGAGGGCGACTCACAAAACTGAACCGAAGACCGAGCCCGAGGGCGAGCGATGAACGACCCCGACCCGCCGTTCTCCTGCTCCATCACCTTGGACAGGCGCCGCGAGTGCCGGACACACTTGATGGGAGAACCGACCTCGCTCCTGTTCAGGAGCCCGGCGTCCACGTTCTCCGAAATCGCCGTCAGGGTCGTGTGCGCGGGGAGGCCCCCCGACGGCTCGGCGGTGTGGATGTCGGCGACGTGACCCGGGTAGACTTTCTTGGCGCGTGCGTAGGAGTCCCGCTCCTCGGCGTCGGCCTCGAGGCTCTTCTGCAAGTCGGCGATATCGTCCAGCATAGCCTGCATATCCCGCTGGCCCTCGCTGACACCGTCATCCACGGTCTCCTCGGTCGGCGCATCTTCCTCCTCCTCGAAATCGTCCATGCTCTTCTGCAAGCCGGCGATCTCGTCGTACGTGTCGCGGAGCGCCTGCTGGCCTTCGCTGAGGCCTTCGTCGTCGTGAGAGGCCGCCTGGGGGAGTTCGATCTCGGAGACCTCGGAATCGGACCGCAACGAGCGCCGCCCCTCGCCGTCCGTCTGACCGAAAAACAGCGGATCGCTCTTCAGCTGCTCGGCCCACTTCCGCCTCAAACGCGCCGACTCGATCACCATGTGCTTGTAGAGGCACTGTCGGTACAGGTCGTCCGGGTGCGGCACCTGCACGAACACGTTGAACACGCAGCCGTGGCGGCTCTCGCCGACGAAGTCCAAGCCTGCAGACGTGCGATGCTCGGTCAGCATGCTGTTCGTGCGTCGGCGACAGTTTGGACCACTCACTGCGAAGGAATCGCTCAGACTCGGTGAGCGCCTCCCACTCCTCGATCGGGGGCTGCAAGTGCTGGAACAGGAACGCGCCGTGGGTCTGCTCCCATTCGAGGCACTCGCGGAACTTTTCCGAATTCCCGTGTCGTCGCCGGAGCCTGTTGATGTCCTTCTGCTCCATCGGGCGCCATGCTTCGACGACTAGAGGAAAAACGTGAGCGTGGCGATCCAGGCATGTGCCAACGCAAAGAATTACCCCGCGGCAGGTGATCGCCGCTCCCAACGGCTGGAGAAGGTCTCTGAGTGGCCTGGTTCAGGGCGAGAGTATCTTCCTGACTGGCACGCAAATCCGCGGTGGCGCGCTCGCGACGGGGAGAGAAGCGGCGGCTGAAGGTAGCGATCTTGGAAAGAGCGGTGTTCATCGTGGATGATGTGCGTAGTGTGTGTAGCGTGCGGTGTAAAGACTGTGTACGCGAGGGTTAGGACCAGGAAGTACTGAGGCTCAGTGATCGAATGCTCGCCTCATTATATACACGTTGCGTTAGGAGTAGCGGAAGTAGCGGAGGCGGATAAGGCGGAGGAGATCGACGGCGGACGAGGCGGGAGCGGAAGACGAGGGCGGCTTTGCGTGAGGGAGATGGCGGGAGCACGATCGTGCTCTCGGCAGCTTCGTCCAACCTGTCCAACCTGTCCAACCCGTACAGCTTCAACTGTCTGAGCCGCCGGCCAGTACTTCGAGTCCCGCCAGCGTTGATCTTGAATTTGTTGCACCGTTCAACACCAGCGGTAGTGAAGCCACGAGCAGCAGTGACAGGGCACGCCAGGCCGAGCTTCCGTTCAGGCGTCGCGTCCGGCAGCCCCTGAACGTCGCGATGGCGGATTCTGATCCCGCCGCGCATTCCTCATTGGGCCGCCCCTGTTGATGTCGGAGTGCCTGCTTTAGAATATCCCGTCGTTTGGGCCCAACAGATATCCCAGGTACTGCGTGATGCTCGTCCGCATATGTCCACAAGCGCCGAAAGCGCGCTGTGCAATAAAGCTGATGACTCCGTATTGCGCGCGGTCCAGGAGTGTGTCCCTTTGTAATGGTGATCGTGTTCCGTTCGCGGCAGGGCCTGGTTATGTAGTCGCGTGTGTCCTCCAAGCCCGCTTGTGCTGCCATCTGAGTTGCACACCCAAGCAGCAATTCTCCCGTGGCGCACTGGCCGCCGATTTCAGTTACGACCAGAATGAGATAGAATGCACGGGCTTCCTAGTAATGCCCAGAATCCGGTTCCAGTGTCGAACAGAGGCGTAATGCTTGGTACTATCATCCGGCCATGCTTCAGCTTCATCCTATCCCGAAGTGGCAGGCTGCCAGGAGAGCGAACTCACGGACGATGGCAGCAGGTGTTGAACTTGATCCATGATGCATGATGGTCCGCGTCCGTGAATGACTGCCGACCTTGAAGGGAGATCGACGAGTGATTGATTGAAATTTATGGAGTCCACCTATGATATGATGGTCGCAGATATTATTGGAACATGTGGTGGTATGGGCTAATGTTGAGGCTGTAAGAACGCATAACGACGCGTTTCTACTCTCTACCACCACACATGTTGGGCACGTTGTCGTGCTTGTTGTCGTTGACGAAAACCGCGCTCGCGTCAAACGACGGGCCAGCGACCGAAATAAATCGGACGGCCATCACTTGTACCTTTGCACGCTTCTCCCGTTGATGGGGGGCTGGTCTAGCATGTGCATCAACGGGGCCGAACGACATATCAAAAGATATTTTGTCGCTCTCGCAAGCGCCCGTCAAGATAGCGTCATCTAACGGGCCAAGTTCGGTAGACCCTTTATATTCGTCACGGAGACGCGAATATGGCTTCTTCGCGTTCTTCTCCGCTCGACCAGCTCGGACTCGACCATGGGCCCCTCACTCCGCCGCCTTGCACTTAGGACCTCTGTCCTTCTCACTCTTGGCGCGGTCGCGTCAGCGAACACCGGGGTCCAGACGTTTGGTACGTCCGGCAAGCACGGCGCTGTCGCGACTGAGGTCGGAGGTACGCGTCTTCGTTGACGCTGAGGGCGTGCTGGCTCATGATGCTTGTGGAGCACAGAGTGCTCTGATATTGGTGTTTCGATTCTGAAGCAAGGCGGAAGCGCGGCAGACGCGGTGAGTGCATAGAGTCCACCCGTCGTACGCGCTTTTTGACTTTGAAACTAAATGACGTTGTCAACTTGTAGATCATCGCCAGCGGACTATGTGTCGGAACGATCGCAGCGTACCATTCCGGAATTGGTGGAGGTGGATTCATGTTGTACGCCCTTTCTCTCTGAGCTGGCCTCTTGACCCGTCTCACTCGGTCTTAGGGTTCGCTTTGAGGACAAGCACGGGAAGGGCCACTCCTACGAAATGATCGATTTCCGGGAGACCATGCCCGCCGCCGGTAACGAGACCATGTACATCAACACGACCGTCGCCCATGCATCCACCATCGGTGGCCTCGCCGTCGGCGTACCCGGCGAGCTGCGGGGTTGGGAAAAGCTGCACGAGCGCCACGGCAAGCTGCCTTGGAAGACGCTCTTTCAACCTGCCATCAAGCTCGCACAGGATGGCTTCAAGGTGACAACGGATCTCGCGGTCGCCCTTAACGCCAGTACGTGACCTTAGTTTTCCCTCTGCCCATCGCCGAGCTTAACGCTAGCGTTCACGGTTTGACTAGACACCTACCCGTTCCTTCTCTCCGACCCGCTCTGGGCCGAAGTTTACGCGCCCAACGGGACTCTCGTTGGTCTCGGCGACACCGTCTACCGCAAGCGCTACGCGCGTACGCTCGCCGCCATCGCGGAACACGGCCCCGACTATTTCTATGGCCCGCACACGGAGATCGCGGTGAACACGGCCGAGGCTGTCCACTCCCGCGGCGGCATTCTCACTACCGCCGACCTCGCTAACTACTCCGCCATCATTCGTGAGCCCGTGAACATCACTTACCGCGGCACGCACCGCATCTTCAGCACCGTTGCGCCTAGCAGTGGCAGCGTCGTGCTTAGCGCGCTGAAGATCTTTGAGGGCTACGACGGCTCCGCGGCGCCGACCGACCCCGCGATCAACCTCACTACCCACCATCTCATCCAGGGTACGCGCTTCGGATACGGCCAGCGCACGAATTACGGCGACCCGGCGTTCACTGCGAACGTATCCACGCTCGAGCGCGAGTTCTTGCAGGAGTCGACTGTCGAGGCGATCCGGAAGGAGATCAGCGACAACCAGACGTTCCCCGCTGCATACTACGACATCAACAAGTACATCCCCCTCAATGATTCGGGAACGAGCCATATGGCTGCCGTCGACCGGTGGGGTAACGCTGTCAGTCTGACGACGACCGTCAACCTTTACTGGGGCAGCCAGGTCATGACCGCAGACGGTAAGCGCAAACGTTCCGTACTCTTTGTTGATTCAGCTGACCGTGCTGTCGTCCCAGGTGTCATCCTCAACGACGAGATGGACGACTTCTCGTCGCCGGGTCAAACCAATTCGTTCGGCTTCGCCGCCGCGCCCGTCAACTTCATCCGGCCCGGAAAGCGCCCGCAGAGCAGCATCTCGAGTTCCATCGCGGAGGACCTCGAGACGGGCGAGTTCGTGATCGCGACCGGCTCCGCCGGCGGATCGCGCATCATCACTGCGACTCTCCAGAACCTGTACCACTACCTCGACCAGGGCCTCACGCCCAACGAGACCGTTCACCAGGTGCGTACCCCCTTTTGCCCTGCCTTATTCGTCTCCTTCTTACTGACAACCCTTCCTCTTTGCTTACAACAGTCGAGGTGGCACGATCAGCTGACGAACGTCACCTACTTCGAGATCTCGGCCCCGAACTTGGGCATCGCGGGCTTCTCGAATGCGACGGTGGCGTACCTCGCCGGCCTCGGGTACAATATCACGTATGAGGACGAGAGCGGGAGCACGGCGCATGTTATCGGGAAGAAGGACGGCGTTTACACCGCCGCGAGCGACCCGCGCAAGACGGCCGGGCGCGGCGCTGCGTTCTGAGTCTACCCTCGCCGGCTGTCGTGCGGGAAAGATGGGAGAAGACGACCTTAAAAATGGGCGAGCATTACGCATGCGCTCGTCGATGGACCATTATAGCGCTTTCGATGTACTTTACAGTATCAACACTTCATAATGCCATTCTTTCAAGGATTCTCGGTGAGCGCGTACTCTGCGCCTTGTAGATTGTGTGAGAGAGGTGTTGTCGTTGTCTCTCCGATCATACATAGTTATACCTATGGTTTAGGCGCGTTGTATTGTCACCGACCGCTTCACGATCGTGGAAAATCCTTGTACCTTTTACTCCCTCACTTCGAGACTGCGTTATCGTGACATCAGCGTGCGGCCCAGGCACCGAGGATGCTTCACCTGGATGACTTGCTATGTCTCTATGGCTCTCCAGCCGCGGGGCATCGTGGAATGTTTCCCGCTCATTCGCGACGAGGGCAGGGGATGGCGAGGCGTACTTCGGAGCAACACGATCTGAATTGTCGGAGATGTGCAGTACAGTGGGGTAGTTGAAGTAGGCGTGAAGGGCCTTGAGATTCTTGGGCGTATCTGGGCTAATAGCCCGAGAACGAGTATTGAAGGCATCGAAGAAATGCTGTGGTACAGTGGCGTGCGAAAGTAGCCGAACGCTCTCCGTTTTTTGTGGTTATGCTTGACTACATCGCACTAGTGTATCTCACTGCTGAAAAACAGTTATGAATGCCTAATATACAGAGCTGAGAATGTGGCTGCACAATCTGGGAGTAGTACGTCAAGAAATGGGCATGCGGCAGCACGATTTCTGCCGGGCTGTCCCGAGCACCCACATGAGGCCGTGTATCATCCATCTCCTCCTCTGCGCTCGCAAACGACTACTCTCGCTATAAGCTTCAAACTTTCTGTAGAATCCTTTCCAGTATCCTTCAGGATATGGCACCGCTCACCCCAACCAAGAGAAGGGCAGTCTGTCTGCTCCGGGACTCTGGGAAGCCATTCCGCTCTATTGCTTCCCAACTCGGCATCTCAGTCTCTACAGCTCACGAGAACTGGATGAAATTCAAAGATACGAAGGACTGGTACCGTGTTGTACCCAAATCTGGGCGCCCCCGCAAATTGGACTCAAGATCTCTGCGTTGTGGGAAGATATGGCTCAGGACAGGCCGGGCCCGAGATGCAACAGACCTCCAGCGGAAGCTCTGGAGAGCAGTACATCCCACCACAGCCCGTCGAAGACTCATAGAGCTTGGTCTCCCAGGGAGGGTTAGGCGCAGGAAGCCGTATCTCAACAAGAATCACATTGGGAAGCGCAGGAGATGGGCAGATGAACATGCAGATTGGACAGCTGATGATTGGAAGCTTGTCATTCCATCTGATGAGTCCAAATTCAACCTGTTTGGGTCGGATGGAAGGCAATACTGCCGCAGGGGTCCAGGGGAGGAATATCTCCCACAGAATGTCACGGCGACAGTCAAACACGGGGGTGGGAGTGTCATGGTCTGGGGCTGCCTCACATCCAAAGGACCGGGTCGCCTTCACCGTGTGATCGGGAACATGAACGCAGCCAACTATTGCTCGATTCTAGACCAGTCCCTTCTGGGAACACTTACCGACTATGGGCTGGCCCCGAACGATGTCATTTTCCTTCAAGATAATGATCCGAAACACACTTCCCGCATGGCCAAGCAATGGTTCATCGACAATAACATCCAATTACTCCCTTGGCCGCCTTCTTCTCCTGATATGAACATCATAGAGCATGCATGGCGCCATCTAGACCGGAAAATCAGGGCCCGGGACCCTCTACCACGAAATGCGGATGAACTGTGGATTGCACTGCAGGAGGAGTGGGCCGGGTTGGATATGGGCTTCATTACCAGGCTCTTCGATTCCATGCCAGATAGAGTGGCTGCCCTTAAGAAGGCCAAAGGCTATCACACCCGGTACTGAACTGTTTTTGTGTTCTCTGGTTCGTTCTGTCATTTTTTCGAGCCTTCACCCGCATACTTGATAGTTGAGTCATGTGCTCCCATGTCTTGGATGTCCTGCTACGTGATTTCACCTCATGGAGCTTCTCTTATATCACTAGCTACATGTTCTAGAGTAGCTACGCGATATATATACACTATCCTTACTTGAGTTCTGGCGGAGTGCGGCTGGTATGGTGCAGATATCGACGAACGGGGGGGGCGTTCGGCTACTTTCGCACGCCACTGTATGTCTCGACCGGTAACTTCTTTTTCGTGTGCTTGTAATATATGCGGGATGAGAGAGGAGGTAGCAATGTCGCGGTGGAGCAATGAGAACCAAACTAGCCTATGCCAGATCGTGTGCAACCACGTGCAGTGTTGTTCGGGCATTGCTCCATTGTCAAGTAGGTGAAGCTCCAACAGCACGGACTGATCCAAGGCCGCGACAAATCGCTTGAGTGCCAATTTCATCCCACCCTCTAAAGCAGCCGGTGTGGTTTCAGTATTCCAATCGTACAGAACACCTGCTAGGGCCCAAAAAGCGGTTCTTCTGCAAAGGGTTGGATGACGATGGCTCTCGTCGCTCAATCGACACGCAGACTCTAAAAGATCTAGGGCTTGTTGCACGGGGAAATCTGGTGGGGCGTTAGCAATTCCTAGAGGGGCTCATGAAACCAATCACATACCCATGATCCCATTTTGGCGGCTCCAACACGTCCAATCGACTTCTTCAAGCAGTGAGACGGCAAGGGCAGCATGGCTTATCGTCTCCTGAAGTTTTGGGACTTGAATCTGCCTGTCAGAGGATAGCATCCGGATGCAAATCTTCAAGTATTCTGGGAGGAACCCGGTATATCGTGCATAGATCAATCGCAGCATGCATAGCGAGTAGAAGATTAGATGTTTGGTATCTTTTCTGGTAAATGGGGTGTCCATGTACATGCCGGACGGCGCATCCACGTCGATGACGGTCAGAAGTTCGGATCCTAGGAGCTTGCCCATGATCCGCACTTGGGTATTATTCATCGCATTTAGGGCGGAGCTGAGACGACTTTCATCGAAGGAGAAGGTTATGTTGACTTGACCTGGTCAAGGGTGATCCCGCCACCTGAAAACGTGCTCCAGGACGTTATCAACGTTGTACGATTCGCCAAGGGTCCCCAAAACGGAAATCACATACGATCCCAAGCGATCGTACGGATGTGCTTGCTGGTCGACATGCAGTTGTGCGGCGTATGCCCCATCTTGTGGTTGTGGTACAGGTATGTCACCCAGACAAGCCCCGATGAGTTCGTCATCCAGCTCTTCGTGGGCGGCCGCCCACAGAAGCGACCGACAGTTCCATGCGACGCTGAGCAAGCCACCGGGTCTCAACGTTGGAAGGTCCAGATCACGATGCGTCCAACCATCATAGAGGCCAATTTTTCGGCTAATCCGCGTATGTCCTTGGAAGAACCGCCACATCGCGAGAGAGAAGCGCCTCCACCAACCGGAACTCCCGCGAATCTTCCATAGCCAATCGCTCAATTGCGCAGCAGCACGGGACTTCGCATTGTGAAGTGAACGCAAGGGAGGTAGAAAAGCCCATCCCAAGGTGCTCTTGTAGCGGCATGATTTACAAAATATTGGCAGGACAACCGCCAAGACGAACAAGAAAAGAGACAACGCGATGAAGATGGTTGTGACAACGGTTACGCGTTCGTTGATGGGCCAGAGTAGAGCTATGAGACCGGTGAAGAAAAGGACGACGGCGGCTTGAAGCACGGTGGGAAGTCCGGTGACGATTTCTGGAACTTTCCAGCGCTGTAGCTGGTTGTAACGATATTGTCGAAGGTTGATGGCGGAGTGGATCGGGGTGACGGTGGTCCAGAGGATGTATTCTCGTAACCATTGCTTGACGAGGATACCGAGAAGGGCGGACGCCAAGGACACGACCAAACTAACAAACCAGAAGGAGTTGATGACAACGAGCGACGTGGGCGCGTGAAACTCTGTCACCGAAACAGTGGAAGGATTAGCGATCTCGTTTCTGGAGAGGTTGAAAAGCTGCTGGGAGATGTCGAGCAGGACCTGAGCCGAGAGTTGCGTATTGTCTGGCTGCAGATGGGGGTACGTGTCCACCAGAAACGCGGTCAACACGGCGGAGAAAAGACCGGCCTGGCGGTCTCGTCAGCGGCGGAGCTAGGCAGAGATAAGAAGGAAAGCGCACGAATACGAGCAATGTATCTATGTCTCCGGTGTACCCGTCAATCATCGTAGTGTCGTGCTCTTTCAAACGTTCGTAAATGTAACTCCAGCCCCCTCCACTATTTAGCTTGCTTTTGGATATCTGTACGGAAGGAAGGCATTGATGAGACATGATATGCATGACTATCCGACAGGCGAACCTTCACAGCAGCGGCTCCGTTTATCCTTGGGGACTTGTTTTGATCGGCGTCGGTCTTTCCCCATCGTGACTCGTCTCGTTGGGGCATAGACTGGTTCTGCTCGGTGACCTCGTCTAGAGGCTCTTGTCCTGGAGACTTATCAGTTCCGGAAAGCGTGCCTCAGTATTCAGTCAATTCGGAATTGTTCGTTGAGGAAGCAGACTCACCGTCGCACTATCACCCTGCGTCGTCATCAAAGCGCGATTGCACATAGGTCCGATGTCCGACAGACTTGAAGTCTGCGCACAAGTTAGGTCAGGTACAGTACATGAGCGTTGCGCGAGATCTGAAGGCTATCTTTGTCGTATAACGTACCTTCATGTTCAAATCACCCCGGTTCTCCGTAGTGCGATACTGATACGAGGGCTGCATGTCGGACACGATGCGAGACCTGTCCAAGAGTTGTATGTAATTCTCTGCAACCTTCGGAAGCCTCGGTTCGCAGAGAAACGACAGGAATATCCATCATCGCTGACAACGTGGTCTCCCCAGTCAGACTAGTTGCGCAGTGCATGAAGACAGTCGTTCACATCGACGATAGGGGATAGTGAGGGCGTGAGACCAACATACGTGTAACGAGCGTCACTCTACATTCTTCTACCAGCTGGCTACAGCTCCTGCGACTCATCATCAAGTCAACAAGCAATATATGGCCAAGTCTCCTGCAGGTTCTGAAGACTTGTTTGTCTACGCTCCATCACATGCTCTTGCATAATTGAGTACCTTCGTCGTCTATGAGTTCACTCTCCTGCCAGTCCCGAAATCTGTCAACGACTCATGCAATCTTTCCTCGAGATGAAGCACGGCTGGGTGTGGTGGTACTTATATACGAGGCGAAGCATCTTACTCGACCACCTGAACCCATGCTGCGAAGCTCGGGATGCGTTATATTCTTTTTTCTTTCTGGTAGGCCATATCAGTCACTGAGATGGGCGGTTCGCCTTGGTCCGCGACGGGAAAATACTCAGATGTTCCGCTCAACACAATAAGGGGAGGCACTCCTGGGGCCGCGCGCAATACGGAGTCATCAGCTCTATTGCCCAGTGCGCTTTCGGCGTCTGGCCAATACCAATACGACTATCAACGGTCCTCGCGGACCGGACGAGCACAACACCTCCATCAATGCGCGGAAATGACAACATGTGATGAGACAGTGGGATACTTGGGTCTTTGGGTTGGAACCAAACGACGGGATATTCCAAAGCAGGCACTCCGACATCAACAGGGGCGGCCCAATGAGGAATGCGCGGCGGGATCAGAATCCGCGATCGCGACGTTCAGGGGCTGCTGGACGCGACGCCTGAACGGAAGCTCGGCCTGGCGTGCCTTGTCACTGCTGCTCGTGGCCTCACTACCGCTGGTGTTCAACGGTGCAACAAATTCAAGATCAACGCTGGCGGGACTCGAAGTACTGGCCGGCGGCTCAGAGAGTTGAAGCTGTACGGGTTGGACAGGTTGAACAGGTTGAACGTGGCTGCCGAGAGCACGATCGTGCTCCCGCCATCTCCCTCACGCAAAGCCGCCCTCGTCTTCCGCTCCCGCCTCGTCCGCCGTCGATCTCCTCCGCCTTATCCGCCTCCGCTACTTCCGCTACTCCTAACGCAACGTGTATATAATGAGGCGAGTATTCGATCACTGAGCCTCAGTACTTCCTGGTCCTAACCCTCGCGTACACAGTCTTTACACCGCACGCTACACGCACTACGCACATCATCCACGATGAACACCGCTCTTTCCAAGATCGCTACCTTCAGCCGCCGCTTCTCTCCCCGTCGCGAGCGCGCCACCGCGGATTTGCGTGCCAGTCAGGAAGATACTCTCGCCCTAAACCAGGCCACTCAGAGACCTTCTCCAGCCGTTGGGAGCGGCGATCACCTGCCGCGGGGTAAGTCTTTGCGTTGGTAGGCATCTGGATCGCGACGCTCACGTTTTTCCTCTAGTCGTCGAAGCATGGCGCCCGATGGAGCAGAAGGACATCAACAGGCTCCGGCGACGCCACGGGAATTCGGAAAAGTTCCGCGAGTGCCTCGAATGGGAGCAGACCCACGGCGCGTTCCTGTTCCAGCACTTGCAGCCCCCGATCGAGGAGTGGGAGGCGCTCACCGAGTCTGAGCGATTCCTTCGCAGTGAGTGGTCCAAACTGTCGCCGACGCACGAACAACATGCTGACCGAGCATCGCACGTCTGCAGGCTTGGACTTCGTCGGCGAGAGCCGCCACGGCTGCGTGTTCAACGTGTTCGTGCAGGTGCCGCATCCGGACGACCTGTACCGACAGTGCCTCTATAAGCACATGGTGATCGAGTCGGCGCGTTTGAGGCGGGAGTGGGCCGAGCAGCTGAAGAGCGATCCGCTGTTTTTCGGTCAGACGGGCAGCGAGGGGCGGCGCTCGTTGCGGTCCGATTCCGAGGTCTCCGAGATCGAACTCCCCAAGGCGGCCTCGCACGACGACGAAGGCCTCAGCGAAGGCCAGCAGGCGCTCCGCGACACGTACGACGAGATCGCCGGCTTGCAGAAGAGCATGGACGATTTCGAGGAGGAGGAAGATGCGCCGACCGAGGAGACCGTGGACGACGGTGTCAGCGAGGGCCAGCGGGATATGCAGGCTATGCTGGACGATATCGCGGACTTGCAGAAGAGCCTCGAGGCCGATGCCGAGGAGCGGGACTCCTACGCACGCGCCAAGAAACTCTACCCGGGTCACGTCGCCGACATCCACACCGGCGAGCCGTCGCGGGGCCTCCCCGCGCACACGACCCTGACGGCGATTTCGGAGAACGTGGACGCCGGGCTCCTGAACAGGAGCGAGGTCGGTTCTCCCATCAAGTGTGTCCGGCACTCGCGGCGGCTGTCCAAGGTGATGGAACAGGAGAACGGCGGGTCGGGGTCGTTCATCGCTCGCCCTCGGGCTCGGTCTTCGGTTCAGTTTTGTGAGTCGCCCTCATATTCTTCGTTTCAGCAGATGGCTGACCGTCGTCGCGTTCGCTCTTCCAGACATACCTCGGAGCCCGGCGATGAACTTCAGCCGGCACTTCTAAAGGGCTTAAACCCTGCCTCCATCTCTGCGACTCAACTCAATTTCCATTTCGGACTTTCATGTCCATCGTCACTCATTACCATCATCGTTTCTCCTTATCATCGTCTCTCATTACCGTCGTGTCCCTTTACCATCGTCTTTCATTACCATCGTCTCTCATTATCACATCTCTCTGCAATTTCTCCGAGCGCCAGCTAGCGGATACAGGAACAAGAAAAAAGTAGAATTAACATAATTATGCACATACAATATACAGTATAAACACATTCCCAACATGGCCCGAGACCAGGACAGTAGCGTTGCAATTTCCTTTCTCTCACACCGTCGCAACGAAAATCGACAATGATTCGCTATACTCAAGTATTTCGCTGCACACGCGTCGCAAACATCATGGTCATTTCATCGATCTGTCCATTCTCGCGTGTACCCGCGGATGACATAAAACATGATGCTCTTCGCGCCTTCGTCGTGACGGGCCTATGCCACGATAGTCAAGCCTAAAATCATCGCTGCAAATACAAAAGTATAGATGGCCGTCATGGACTTGAAGTTGTTCTCTGCGCTTCAAGCTCCTGCAGGCTCTTGTTCACGAACTGCAGCTCGCGCTCCCTGGCCGTGATGATCTCTTTCCGCGTCCGCACCACGCGCTGCAGGTCCGCAATGTGCACCCAGCCAAGGGACTTAGTCTTGACGTACGTCACGTCCCCAAATGAAACACAGTTCAACGAAGGCTGCGCGTTGGAATAGAGAGTGAGCAGGGGGAGAAACTGCGGAGGAGAGATGAACTGGGCAGCAGTTTCGATGATGGGCGAAGGTTTTTCCGTGCCCGGACCACCATAGCCTGGTGTGGACGACGATAGAATGGACGACGTAAGGGTATGGTCGTGTACGGCGTCCGCCTTGTCTTGAGACACGATGACAAGAGCCAAAAGCCGGCTGAAGCGAGATATAACGGTCGGAAGGCCGATCAGAACGTCCTATACATTCTTCAGCGCGATTGTATATCTGAGTTGACGTTGATCATACCTGATTGATCGGCCCAGTTACCGCGCAGACGTCGAGCACTTCTATATCGGGGAGGGTCGCAGGCACGGCAGCGAGTATATTCAGCGTCTCCTGAGCCAATTGGCGATGGGGAACGTGTCCGGTCACCGCCAGTGATTTCAATGGCCCGGAAGAGAAGGCGAGTATCTTGCACGTAGAGGAAAGGATATCATGAGTGAACATCCACGGGTCGAACATGATCTCCACTCGTGATACAGGGCGCTTGGGGACGACGCGCGAGAGAATTAGGGGCGTGGCGGAGACCTTCTCCAAGTGAGGGAGAGAGGTCACGTCAATCTGGTTCCGTGCGAAGCGTTCAAGGGTGAATGCCCGATTCGCCATCACACCTGAAGGGGCCCCGAATGTAATGGTGCGAATGGTGGATTGAGAGGCGAGGAATCCGGCAAGTGCAGAATCCCATTCGATCGAGGTCGCAAATTCCACGAGCTTGAAAGAGACGTTGGTAAGCACGCGTCCCGGGCAGCCAGGAAGGAGAAGCGCCAGAGACGTGAGGTTTGAGGTGCAGTGGAACACGGCCTGGAGTAGAGTCGCCATCGCAGCCAACCATTGAGGTTGGCTGGGACGCTCGTAGTGGATCTCGAGAGAGCGAAGTTGTGAAGCCAAGGACGGATTGTCCCGGATTACGCGCAGGAAGCTGATCAGGTTGGGTAAGCTCCGGGTGGTATCGTTGAAGACAGCATAACGATAGAGGATGCGGATGGCTGCATGATAAAGCGATGAACCAGCTGCGGCACATCTAGCGAGAGATCCTGGGTGCAAAGATAGGAATATCTTTTCGAGTATCTCGCCTGGGAGCTGGACTATCTTCCTGTCTGTTTTCGTCAACGAGTTGGGTCTCGAGCAAGCGATGGAGCGCATAGACATACCGTCGACCCTAAGGTCCCCTAGTCTATGCTGCAAGCCTCCTGCCTTGAGAATGGTGAATCGAATCCTCATAGCACGCCACCCGTGCTAACCTCTGGATCATAGGCAGGAGGGTTCTGTACTGAGCTGGTGTAATGATCCCGTGTTAACACAACGTTGTCATGAGCAGACGGAACAAATTCAACAGAAGGTGTTGGATTCATCTTGATGATAACGAGCTACCACAGACGGTGAGAGGGTGAATCGAGCACTCGGATGACGAATCGAAGCTGTGGATTAGTGTACCGTCAAAAAGTCAGATGTTATTAACTCGTGTTTAGTTACATGGTTATTTACATGTAACTTACATGCGAGGCATGCCATAGGTCAATCCTCATGTTATAAAAGTAAATAATTCATCGCCATTCGCGTACCCTTGAAGCTTGTGCATGGCCGTTGATGTAAATGTGATGAGCGGTAATGTTGTATTCCCACGAATACAACCTCTTGACACGTCGACATCGTGGCACCCACTCTTGATATGGCTTCTACTCCCACTAGAGATTACGAGCGCTTTTAACCGGATCCCGAAAAAGTCACGGACTTTCTCAAAATACTTCGAGAGCTGGAGCATTTGCTCCGCAATCTACCTGCTTCGCTTCCACTAGTGGAGGATCCGAACAGTCAAAATATGCTGTTTTTGTGAATTTCGCGCTAGATGTCGAGCTTTTCGCACTGGAAACCGACGATGACATCGATCTATCGTCGGCACTCATCCGGGATGTTCTTTCATTGAGCCCGGTCAATGCGTCTCATGCCGTGGACACAAAACGGGGCCCAGATGATGTTTGCGACGAGAACTGGGACTGATAGACTCATGTACACGGCACAATCTGACGTGTTCCGCCTCGAAAACAGCGCGCGGAGTTTATTACATTGTCTACCATACTTACGCTTGTAAATAAACCCCCTGGCGCGCCACTAGTTACTTACAAATGTGATTAAGTCAGCGGGAATTATTGACGGTACGCTACTGTGGATCGGTTTTCATTGACGGGTGCCCCGGCTCAGTGTTTATCTTACTGTAATCCGCTTCGCGCTACTATTGCATAGCAAGTCGGTCGTCATAGGCATACACGTTGACTGAGTATTACCTCGGTCCATGGCATACAGTACCTATCGTCAGCAAGTGAGAAACAAGCCAGGTCCGACCTCGAACATCCAAAGTTTGCAAACACGACTTGACCATATCTGTTGTGATCTGGTGTATGCATTCTGTCGCGAGATTTCAGAATATGACAAGTCCATCTCTTACGCTACGTTACTGCCAGTTAGCGAGAATGCAACCGGAATGACCACCCCCTTGGCTTGGGGGCACGATTCGCCCCATGTTCGTATCCCAGATGCTTGAAAGGTGATCATATTATTATACAAGCTAGAACAACCCTGTTTGTATCTTGCGTTCCAGCGAACTATCGCATCTTCCTGCCATGCATGGACATATCATATCAAGTCAGCGAACATCTTGATCCCTAGTATTCCTCTTCCCCTCAACCGCGGAGATGTCGAGGGGGCGGCGGGCATGGGAGGTGCTAGGGGACAGAAGACGGCGAACCCGAAGCAGATAACTCGTCTGGCACCAGCTCATACCGGAGATGACTGATGCGCGGCTCGCGTCGTATGAAAGGGGTCGCGGCTCGCCGGGTTGCACCTTTCCTCAGGCAGTCACGAGTAAGCGGCAATGCAGATTCGACATCCTTGCGCTGGAGATGACGATACAGCCAATCGGGAAGGATAGACCGATACCGCATCGCGCACAGGCCGCAATTCGCGAAAGCTGCGTTTGGTAAAGGATTAGAATGGTACATAGGATAGGAGCCTAGGTACACTCACCCAAGATCGCGACGTACCATGACATTGCCAGGACCACACTGGCGACCGCGCACTCGGAGTCGAAGATCATGAAATCGACACAGACCTGCCAATTATCCATGCTATCGTCACGTCTTATCAGCGTGGTGAACACTATGGCGGCACCTGTAGAATATAAAATTAGGGCAATCGCAACAACATGCTGAAGGTGCCTCACTCAGATCGAAGATGAAGATGAGGAGCGAGCGAAGCACCTCAATTACCCAAATTGGCATCGTGTCGCGCGCGAGGAAGTCGATGCATGGAAATGCGAGCAAGAAGCTGGCCGTTGCCCAGAGCGCCGCTGCGACGAGTTCTGTCACTACAAGACGATGGGATAAGCTTGCGGGAAGGGATCGCCTATACTGTAGGGGTACGTACCAAGGCGGTGTTGGGCATTGGAGATTACTTTTCCCGTCACGATCGTCAAAACCAGGTGCGACTGGATGAGGCTGAATGCTGGCGGGCACGTTGAACCCACAACCTTCCCTTGTAGACAGGCAGGACGTACCAAGAGCAAAACGGCGAGAGATCGCAGATCGCATGGTGCGCAGTCAAGAGGGTTTCAAGGAAGTATCTTGTTCGTTGGACGTGAGTGTTCTCGTTATATGGAATGCAGATGTGGCCTCTCCATAACCTTCTCATCTGTTGGCCAGTCGCGGGCCACAGGCATTGCATTGATGCATCGATGATCCTCGTCTACAGACAATGCGGTAGCACAAGGTCGTTGGTGGCCTTGCATCACTGCTGGAGCACAATGCACAAGGACAGCAGAGATCAGGTCGTGCAGATTGCAGAAGAGCTGGTATTGGGTCGAGCAAAAGTGTACGGATCGCCTTCAGGTCGTCGGATTACCGTTCTAATGAGGCGCCCACTCGTCGATCAAAGGAGGTGCCCCACGCGTCGAGAGCGTTCAATGAATCCACGTGATGCTATGCGTCACAATCAATGACCAGTGCCGCGTTAACGTCTGGCATTGGTGGCAATCCTCACTTGCTTTCAGTTGCTTGGACATGCCAACGTCCCAGAGCAAGCGAGGACGCGGCAACCGTCGCTCGTCTACCGGTACCTCCCTTTCTAAGTGGCCGAAGAGTCTCCAGCAACTCCAGCACCCCCAGGCTCAGACCCCACAACCTGCACGGACGACATCCAGCCCTCTCCTGAGACACACAGACAGCGCTGGACTATCATCTGACGAGGGATCGCCAAAACGCGATGTCTTCTTTGACACTAGAGACAACTATCGTGATCGAGCTCCTCTCAGCGCAGGATCACATCAGGATATGGTCAACGCACATGCTCACTACGTCGAGCTGAACGATTGGCCGTTGACATATGCATCGCTACCCCCAACACCCATTTCACCTTCTCCACCTCCCCAAATATCCAACTCAATGTCGTCGCCTCCTATGGTACATCCTGAAGGCCGGTCGTATTCCGGTATACAGCCATCTCTGAGTTTACCGAACGTTGCATTTCCGATTGTCGAAACGCCACTATCTCCAAACACGGCAGAGTCTTTGATGCACCAGCTAGACTATCGGGATCCTCCGTTCTCCCTATGGGACTACCTGCGTGAGGAACTTCTTGCAACTGATTTCGACTCTCACCAAGAGCTGAAGTGGGAACGTGTCAGCAACTTCCTGGCCATTCCCTGGGCGGTCGAAAAGGTGACTATACTCTGCCATCTCCCTCAATTGCGAATCGAAACAGCTCATTTCAACATTTCAGATCATCGGATTTGGCTTCATCTTGTGCCTCGATTCTTTCCTGTACACCTTCACAATATTGCCCATTCGTTGCGTACTGGCACTGTATCGCCTTGCAATGATCACGCTCCGATCGATTATGTCTCCTGGAAACGGCCGAACCCTTCCTCCGTCGCAGAAAGCCGATATTTTGAGGTCTCTGCTGCTAGCATTGACCGTGGCGATCCTGGTACCGTTGACGGACGCGAGGTATGTCAGCAAACGGACGATTGCTTTTACCTTGCTGATGATTCATGCGCCAGTAAGATCTACCATTCCATACGAGGTCAAGATACGATTAAATTGTACGTCATCTTCAACGCGCTCGAGGTATGTATACGACACATTACCCGTATATCGGGGTAAATGCTGAATTATCGCTACTAGATCGCCGACCGTCTATGTGCCGCCATAGGCCAAGACATTGTCGACTGTCTATTCTCACGTTCAAACCTGGTGGTGCTTTCAAGACATCAGCCCGTCTCAGCTCACACCTTCCGCCCGCTACTATTCTTCGGACTCGCCCTGGCATACAACGGTATCTTCTTTCCTTTCGAAGTCAATCATGTGCTGAATGTTCCTCATGCGTAGTCGCCCATACTCTCGTAATGATATACCAGATGATCTGCCTCAACGTGGCGATCAACTCTTATGATCACGCACTGCTTACGCTTCTCGTGTCGAACCAGTTTGTGGAGATCAAAGGCAGCGTGTTCAAGAAATTTGAGAAAGACAATCTCTTCCAAATCATGTGTGCAGGTACGTGCGACTCCTCGCGTCCCGAACGTGTATCATGGTTTGTCCAGGGGCTGGGCTGAGAGACAGTACGCAGATATCGTTGAGCGGTTTACTCTTGCCCTCATGCTCTTTATCGTCGCATTCCGCAATTTGATCGAACTCAGCGGCTCCGCCTTCGACTTCACCGGCGGATTCTTTCTTCCGCGCAGTTTCGGCTTCTGGAAAGGGAACAACGTCATGTGGACTATCTCATCAGTACGTACTTTCGGCGCATATATCCATGGGTTAGCATAACGTATTGGTTTGGTAGCCCGTTCTGACCGTATTGGGCTCCGAGATGATTGTCGACTGGCTCAAGCACGCGTTCATCACGAAATTCAACCACATCCGACCGTCTGTCTATGAACGCTACACGGATGTGCTCTGTCGCGATCTCGCGAGCGGGAGCGGGATGGGCAGGAGGGGTGCTCGCAAGGTGAAACAGCATAGCGGCCAGCGTTACCTGCTCTCTAATCACACCCTGAACCTAGCACTCTTACGTCGACCAGTCCCCGGTGGTCGCCCGACGACTTGGCTTCGCGTCCCTGCCGCTAGCTGTTCTCGCGATCCTGATTGGGTCACAGATGGTCAACCTCCTGTGGTCGATGCACGCGGACGGCAGCGCTTCGCCGTGGCGGCTGACTGAGGGTCATACGACCACCGACGATATCGTCAATCGCCTGAAATGGGCAGCGCTCGCGGCGCTGTTCTGGATTTGGTAGGTGCTCGCTCAGCAATTGTCCTCGGGAGCTCACTCTTAATGGGCATCGCTCGTCGCATAGTTCTGTTGTGGTGAAAATCATCCTTGGCGTCAATTTGATTAGCTATGCGACCAGGCGGCGGGCTGGAATGGAAGCTCGGGAGGCGGCAGATGTTGTGAACGACTTTGGACGGGACCCAATCGGGGAGGGCGAGGAGGAAAAGGTTCGAGTTTCGTCTACCAATCCTGCCCAGTGCTGAAACGTTGACATACGTAGAAATATAATCGGGAGCTAACGGCGCTGCTGAACAACAAACGGTATGACGCTGCACCTGCTGCAGAAATCGGCGAGACCAAGCCGAAGGTTGGTGGTGGAGGCAAGGAAGGAGGCGGTGGAGGAGGAGGCGGGAAGAAGCGGTTACCCTTGGAAGAAATCACGCGATACACGATGATCAAGCGTATATGGTGAACGGTTCCGTTCGTCACGTATGCGCTACATGTACGCTCGCGGGTCCCGAGCGCGTTCGAATCCATGTATGATCATGAAAACACCCTTTCCGTGAATGAGAGCCGCGCATTGAAGTCTTTACTCGATCATCGCGTCCTGACGCCTGATAACGCAGATAACGTGTCGCGGATGAGCATGTCATTGAAGATAGTAATGCAGGTAAGGTATGTGAGGTGCAGTATACAACAGGATAACGATACATACGGCAATCATGCGTGCGATACAATGCGAATGGGATGTGATACAGGTGCGATATTTTTACAAATCAGGTTGGCAAGAGTGAGAGGATGGATCTCAGGACGCCCATGTGTCCACAAATGCATCGCCGTCCTGCCCGGAGTCAGAAGACACGCTTCTAAGTGCCAACGAAAGGTCGAACCCGAGGTTGAGCAGCGACGAGTCGAACTCCTGGGACGACGGCGCCGATGTCCGAATCGTCCAGCAAGAGTCGTCCCCGGGATGGCGTCGAAATGAAGGCGTCATATTCTCCACCGCACGTCTTGAGGTACTGGTCGATACCATGTCCTTCGACTCACCCGTCCGAACAGACTGCGTCGAAGACGCGTCAGCACGGGATAATTCGGGAACTTGTGCTTCGTGTGCGAGCGATCGTTTACTAGGGGAAACGAAAGAGCCGCTTGAGCGATCGAGAAGGGCAGATATGGCGCTGATATCGAGGTCCATTAGGATGCTTGAAACGCTGTTATCAGAGCTCGACCTCTGTACTTCGGGTCTGGTAGCGCTGTGGCGGGCGTCGACCGATGCTTGGGAGCCTACCAACCGATCTCCAACGTCCGTGTCTAGTGCCTCCCCTTCAATGAGTGCCGATCGGGATAAATGCGTCCCCTCCGCGCGATGTAGGCGGAGTGACTCCGGCGTCCACCTCAATGCCTCCACTTCCCTGATCTCCGCATCATCGGGAGTCCGGAACACGAACTCCTCTTCCTCTTCCTCTTCTCGGCTTCGACGCGCCGACAAGAGCACCCGATCGATGACTACCGCTGAGGGAAGTGGCACGTTGGTAAGCCAGGCCTCGTAACTGTAAGTGTCGGGGCGTCGATGCTGGGGACGCGATAGGTGGGGAGGTTCGAAGTAGTCCGTAGTCAGGCTCAGGTCGTGCATGTCGGCGAGGTCGGCCTCAGTGATGGATGATCTGATGGACGGCGGGGGGACCGGTAGTCCGGGTGTATCTTGAGAGAGATCGTAGGCGCGGAGCGACGTGGCAGTAGACGCGGTGCCGCGAGCCAGGCTGGTGTTGGTAGCCAACCATGGCATCGTATTGTGCTTCACCGGGGTACCCGCATGAGATTCTGGCACCTCGGCTTCCATTACCGTAGCAGCGCGTGCAGGCGATGCGCGGATCTCCATAACTGTCGATGCACGGACTACCATGGGTTCGTCGGGATCGACAGAGGGGCTGATGGCGAGTCCAATTGTGTCGTCCGAGGCCGAGCACGCGTCCAAGTGGTCCCGGCTTGCTTGAGGTGATAGCTCATCCATGGCTAGCATAGAGTCAAGCGGAGCGGGTAGCAGGGCGAGTCGAAGACCTCGGTCCGATGAAACAGAGACAGAATGCGACGACGGAGAGTGAACATTAACGGTCGACATTTCGTTGAGAGAGCCATAGTTCGGAGTAGGAAGCTGAGGCAAGGTGCCGAACGTGGCAGAGGAAGCCTGAAGGTTCGAAGTCACCAGTCGTTCTGAGATGCTTGAGGAGTTAGTGCCCAGCGAAGTGTTGCCAACTTGCTGTTGCATAAATGATCCCGATCTTGCGCGTACAGAGTCGGAGCAGAGCACAGGTGGCGGGTCTTCCAAGTCGACTGCGAAGATAGGCGGCCCACAAAGCGGAGAACGAGGGCGTCTTGGAGATAGGGTTGGAGTATGCAGACGAGATTGCGACGAAGGATCACGAGCACCAGGAGAAGAAGGCGGAGGTGACCTAGCAGACGGCGAGGAGACCGGTCCAGCTCTGGCTTGTATTGTCACAGTGACAGCAGGCCTGGGCACGGATTTCGGGGACTCCTTACGCTTCTTGCGCCAGACGCGGGGAAGGGCCCACTGAGACTTCTTCTTACGATGATCTTCCTGGCCCTTATTTTCGATGTCATTCTTTGGCCGACGCCGAGAACGCATGAACCAGGACGCTAGCAGGGCACAGACAGGCAAAAACACGGCCCCAGAAAGGGCAAGACCGATGTGAATAGGCTGAAGACCAGGTTGTGGCGAGACATTGAACATAGTTGTGTGGTATTAATCTAGAACAGTGGGTACAACGGAGCGGTGTAGACTGATGAGAGAGACCGGCGGCGGGGGGAGTAAACCGAGATGAACCCGGAGGTGGGCAGGAGTCAGAAGAGCGCGACTCAACCAAAAATTCGGCACGCCCACCAAGAGGGGGGATGTCAGCAGGGTGGGAAGATGATAAAGCCGGCCGCGATATTTATTGCGACTACTTGACCTCCTCACCTGCTCAACTTCTCCTCCTCCTCCTCCTCCTCCTACAAAGAATAAGAACATGGCAGCAGTAGACGCGCAGATACCGATGTCTGCTGACCAGGCGTTGTTTACATGCCTTTCCTGCATGATCGCTTTCCCCTCTGCGGAGGATCAAAGTACGGTTGTCTAGGCCTTTAGTGACATCCAGAGATACTAAAAGCGCCTTTCATTTACAGGAATCCACTACCGGTCTGATCACCATCGGTACAACATGAAACGACGGGTTGCATCCCTGCCTCCCGTCAGTGCTGCCGTCTTCAACCAGAAAGTATTGGAGAGGCGTCAGGAGACATCCATTATGTCGTCTGCCAAGGGATCGCACTGTGACGTTTGCAAGTGAGTTTTGACTTCCAAGGCCATGGATGCGCGGCATTGATAGGTGATTTGCTCAGCAAAACGTACACGACCGAGAACTCATATCGGTCGCACATCGCATCGAAGAAACATCGCGAAAACGAATTGAAGGCTGCTGCGAAGGCACGAGAGCCTGCACCAGAAGTCGCTCCTGTACCGATTCCATCTGTTACCGAACCCGAAGCAGCAGCTCAGCCGGCGGCATCCACAAGCACAAGCCCACCAAGCGCTTCCTCCGCCAAAGAGAGCGGAACCTTGCTCGTGGACGCCGATGCAGACGAAGAACAAGTCAACCAAACCATCGACGAAAAGATCGCCGCCGCGCGCTCGCGCCTCTCCCCCGCACACTGTCTCTTCTGCCCCCAGATCTCCTCCTCCCTCGAAACGAATCTGGAACATATGTCCTCCAAGCACTCCTTCTTCGTTCCCGACGCCGAATACCTCGTCGACCTCCCTGGATTGCTCACCTACCTTGGCGAGAAGATAGCTGTTGGCAACGTATGCATATACTGCAACGAGAAAGGGCGCGAGTTCAGGACGCTGACTGCGGTCCGGAAGCATATGCTAGACAAGGGGCACTGCAAGATCGCATACGACACTGAGGATGACCGGCTCGAGGTTTCGGACTTTTACGACTTCACGAGCTCGTACCCGACCCCGAAGCCGAAGAAGGCCAAGGCCAAGAAGGTAAAACAGGCGAAGGCCTCCGATGGCGAAAGCGAAGAAGACGAGGAGTGGGAAGACGCGTCTGACGCCGATTCAGACGAGGTCGATGAGGTGGTCGAGGAGTCAGCATCAGAAGACTCGGACGAAGAGTCGTCGGAAGAAGACTCGGATCTCGACGAGAACCAGGTTACTTACGGCGACACGAACTACGAGCTCGTCCTCCCCTCCGGCGCGCGTATCGGCCACCGCTCCATGCGGCGGTACTATGCCCAGTCGTTCCCCGGCTCACCGCGCGGCTCCAAGCCCGAAGACCCCAATTCTGGCGCCGCCCTCGTCCGGCGGTTGCTCGCCGAGAAGAATTCGGCGCTCGTGCCCAGAAGGGGCGGCTTTGGCGCGTTCGGGGCAGGAACGGACGTGGTCAAGGCCAGGAACGCCGGTGAGGCGAGGAACGCGGGCAGACATATGAGGGAGTTCCGGGACATCAAGAGGAGGCAAGATTTCAAGACGAAAGTCGGCTTCATACACAACAACCAGAAGCATTTCCGCGACCCCTTGCTCCAGGTGCGTTGCCCTGCGGCTTACCTGTCTCACAGTTCGCATACTCACGCGGCTCTTCCAGTGATTTTGGAAACTGGGTGCTGTCTTGTTTCACTACTTACAATCCTATCGTCCACAAGGTGCATGTCCAGTAAACTATCGGGCGCGAATGGTGAAGGAGCGCAGAGGATGGGTATCCGAGGAGAGTATTAGAATGGATAATGTAGGCCTGCTACTGGCTGCGGAGCGTTCGGGCATCGTTATCGTTTGCCTACCCTTGCCGCGTCGATATTTGAATATTGTCTGAGTCGAAGGAGTGTGGAGTTGGAATGAATGGATGCGGCGCAACAGCCGTGCTCGAGCCTGGCAGTTTGGGTGCTTCGGGCGTTTCGATTGAGGTCCGCGGTGGGGAGACGAGAGCAAAAACAAATTCCTATTAGGGGTTCGTAGTGACTCTAGTGACGAGTGCATGTCATGAGAGAGAGAACATAAAGAAACAATGCGATCAGATGTGCGAGTTGAAAGCGTGAGCGAGATGAAACGACAAACAAGAACAGCAGTCAATAAACACAATATTCCCAGTTTCAGTCCAGATCAGTATACATAATTAGCGGGCACCACTCCTTCATTGCCAGTGTTCGGGTCTCGTGCGTACCACCACCTAAGGGACGGTATGATCAGCCACTGATGCCTTTGATCAATATTGGAAGACTTACGCAGCATCCCGATCATCCAAGATCTCGACCTCTGTTCCAGACGACAGCGGTAGCTCGCCCTCTTCTCGCCCATCGAATGAATAACGGGCGTGTGCGAGACGGCCACTGCCGTCAGCAGCTACACCAACGGGCGCATCTGAGGGTGTATCCGGTCGGTGCTCATCGCCACCGAAAACATCTCCCCTCTGAGAGGCTGCAGCAACACCCGCCACTGCAGCTGCCTCTGCTTCCTTCTCGCCAGTCATGGAAGCCCCGAACGCCGGGCTACCCATGATCGTGTTGCGCGTGGCGGCATTGATGTGCTCCAGCAGCGACGACGGCCGGTGGTGGATAGAGTCGTCGTCTTCGTCAGTGCCTGCGGGGTCGAACTTGTCCGCATCTTCCTTGCGGCCGAATAGTGTCCAGAGGATGCCGATGAGAACGAGCAGGAAGACTATGCCGGCCGCGATGGCGATCGAGATGAGGATGACGATGCCGGTGGCGAGGAAATGGTGCTTGGTGAAGCTGAAGGTGGCGAAAGAGTGGATCAAGGCGGAGATGGCGCCAGGGTCACCCGAAGCAGACGTGGAGGTGATGTAGGGGTGAAACGTCTGGCCGTCGAACAAGGCCGAAGAAGCGTTGCCGAACGATGATTCGGACAAGGTGCCGGAAACGAGGAGCATTCTGTCCTTCTCGATGATGCTGTTGGCTGTATGCGTGTCCGAGAGCGGGACCATCACCAACTGCGAGATGTTCGTGGTGCTTTGCAGAGTCGAACCGAGCGAAGACCAAGTGCGGCCATCCCATACGGACAAGAACGCGGAGCTCGAGTCGCTGGAGCGACCAGCGGCGAAGATGCTGCTGAGGTTGCCTCCGTTAACTTCGAGGGCAGTGACAGGGCCCGGGAGTTCGGAACCACTACCGATTGCCGACCACGAGTTGTTGGCAAAGGTATAGGCGGCGACGTTGGCGGTGTTGCCAGAGAGTGCAATGGATCCGGACGCGACCAGCGTGCTCTGCTTGTCCTGTAGGGTCATCTTAGCGACTGATACATCTAGAAAGGGTAAAAAGAACGTACCCCGCCATACGCGACGGACACGACGTCACCCTGCACGCCGCTGCCCAACTCGGTCCACTGGCTGTTGCTCGTGTCCCACGCGCATATACCCTGGCAACTCGTTGAGCCGGCCGACGTGAACGAACCGGCAACAATGACGGTGTTATCCTTGGACTCCGAGCTCGTGAGCGAGCGCACGAGAACCGAGCCAGAGCTTGCAACCAGCGCAGGAGGGGTGTTCGACGCCCACTTCTGATTCGCAAGATCGTAAACAGCAAAGCCATTCGCGCTAGTGCCTTCGACGGTGAACTGGCCTCCGATGAACAAGTTGTCGCCTTGCACAAGAAGCGCTTGGACCACGCCGCTGGGCTGGGAACCTTGCAAAGCCGTGACGGAGCCGGACTTCGGGTCGTATATAGCAACATTGCTCGCCTCGGCTCCGGATGCGCTCGTGAACGAGAAGTTGCCGCCGATGATGACCACTTCGTCCTTCGACGTGCTGTTCGTCCAAAACGCGCCGGCGGACACACTCGGGCCCGAAGACGCAGTAACGGTGGGTAGGGGCTCAAGCGCGCTAGTCGTCGATGACTGCCTGGACAACAGCTTCGGGAACTGCAGCCTCGGGAACAGCCCGGCCGCGGCGCGCACATGCGACCGCCTCCTTCTCGTCGCCGTCCCGCTCGCGCTCTCATTCCCGCCGCTAGCTAACTGCACGCCCAACGGCGTCACGGTCGGAACCCCATCCTTCCCTCCATTTGACAGCATCACGAATCCGCTCGCGCCGAACTGGCTCGACGCGGCGACGTTGCCCGCGACGAACTGCGTCTGGCTCTGGCTCTTGCTCGCCGCGGTCCCGTTGCCGACGAACGTCATGCTGCCGGCGAGGAACCCGCCGCTGTTCACCCACGTGCTGTTCTGCGCGTCCCACACCGCCAAGCCGCCAGAGGATATGCCGGAACTGGTGGAAGAAGCGGACACGATCTGGGTGAAGTTGCCGGCGACCTGAAGCTGCCCGTTCGCGAACCCGAGGCTCGTCGCTGCGCCGTTCAGACCGGCCTGAAGCGCCGCCCACTTGTCCCCACTGACACTATACGCCCCAACCCCGCGCACCTTCCCGCCCGTCGAACCACTCGCTGTATCTTCAAACGCGCCACCAACGAAGAGCGTGTCGCCATCGACGACAAGTGACGTTACTGCGCCATTCAACCCGTTCTCGGCCAGCGACGCCAACGCACCGTTCTTGAACATGACGATGTTCTTCGCGCCGGACGCGGAGCCAGACGAGAGCGAGAAATCTCCACCGAGGAAGACCGCACCAGACGGGTGGTGTGCGACGGCCGCGATGACGGCCGCAGAAGCCGAGGACAGGCTGCCGCTTCCGCCCATGGCGGTGAGCAGCTCCAGACCGATCGCGTCCAACGCGGTCTCAGTCGTGTTGGGGAGAGTGGATGTAGCGTTCACGGAGGAGTCGGAGCTGCTGAGCGGCCACTCGAAGAACCCAAAGCCGCTCGTTGACGCGGTGGTAGCGTTGGACCCGCTACCGCTACCCGACGTCCCGGTAGACGTCAGGTTCGCGTTGGTGAGCTCCATCTGTATCCGATCCGCCACAATCTCCCACTGCCCGTTCTGCCCATTTCCGACAGGCTGGTCGGCGAGCGTCATCGTGACGGTCACCACGAAGTCGGTCGAGCTCGGCACGATCGGGCCAGAATAGATGAGCGTGCTGGCGTCGTCCGTGTTGGTCTGGTCGACGGTCGTCACCCACGGCTGCTGGTCGCCGCCGGGGAACACAGTGACCTTGACCGACGTGCGCGCGTTGCAGTCCTGAAACTCGGTGCAGCCCGGGACGAGGAAGTTGATGTTGTAGTCGCCCGAGGCGGAAACGTACGGCATCCAGGTGAAGCTCGGGCCCGTGCTCGCCGACGTCCCCACGTTGACGTCGCTCACCAGCACGCTCTGGACCGTGCCCGGGATGCCAGTGTTCGCCTGCTTCTCGGTCCAATCGCCCGTCTGGGTCGTGTTCGAGGGGTTGGGCGCGAAGCAGGAAACCGAATTTTCGTCTGCCAGGGCGGAGGCGAAGGCGCCGGACGAGAGGAGCTGGAAGATGTGCAGTCCCGGGCCGGCGCCGGTCCAGTTGGATAGGGTGACCTGTACGCCGGTGATGTTGAGCGGCGCGGAGGCGAAGAGGAAGTCTTGGTACAGGAGCGAGGAATCCGTGGAAAGCGGACAGGGGTCACTGCATGTGGTGTTTTGACCGGTAGTAGGATCCAAAAACTTGAGCGTTTGAACGGTGTTGTCCGGAATAGTCGTCACCCTGAGACAACAATCAGACTGGTCCCGTGTCTATGTACCACAATGAAGACTCACTTGAACCCAGTGGCACCCCTGCTGTCCAGGAATGTGTTCCCGAGACGAACGCCGGCGGCGCTGATGAACGAAAACGCGCGTGCAGTGATGACGGCTGCGTTACCATCCGCCGCGAACCAGGTGTTGTTCGGTCCGTCCGCCCCAGCGGGACAAAGGATGTTGTCGATGTTGCTAAATTCTGCCTGTTGCGTGGACGGCGAGCCCTCGATCTGCGCGTTCTGCAAAGGTATGGGTACGAGGGAGGACGAGAACGGCGAGGCACCCTTGGAGAAGGGAACGTTCGGGTTGTTGGTCGAGTTGAGGGTAGAGGTGCCGTTGCCCGCGAAGGCCGTGATGAATGAGCCGGCGAAGAAAAGCGACGAGGAAGAGGAGTTTGTGGTGATAGATAGGACCTCGGACGCGGCGCCGGTGAGCCCACCAAAGGGCGCGGCGGACCAAGACTGTGCCTTGGCATCCCAAACGGCGACGTTCTTCCCGGGTGACGAGAACGCGCCGCCCGCCCAGACCTTATTGTTGCTGGAGTCGCAGAATAGCGCATGGATGGGGCCGTTGGGGCCGTTGGACCCGAGGGCGGAGAACTTGCTGGCCGACGCATCGTACGAGGCGATGTTGCTCGCGCTCGTGCCGTTGATGGACGAAAACGTGCCCGCGACGTAGAATGTGGAGCCGAGGGCGCACCCGGCGGAGATGGCGCCCCCCGCGTTGGTGGAGCCGAGGCGGGCGAGTGCGCCGTTGGTTGAGCGGGAGAGGAGAGACGCAGTAGAGGGGTCGAAGGCGACGGTGCTGTTGCTGAAGACGTCGAGGCCCGCGAAGGAGCCGGCGAGGCCGACCTTGCCCATGCGGTCAAAGTCGACCTGGGGCAGCGCGCCAAGGACCATCAGGGCTTGTATGAGCATCGTGCTCAGTACGAGGAGGGGCCGCCATGGCCGATTATGATCTGTGCGTTGCATGTGTTGGGGCGGAGGAGGATATCATGAACGGGGGGTATACAGATACGATGAGTCGGAGCCCTGCCAGGCCGTGGAGGAGCAAGTCCCGGGCGAAAATGTGAAGACAAGCCGGGAGGCGACAACCGTCGCGCGACTCCCGCACGTTCAACAAACCCTCCGCGTCGTTACGCACTCCCACGCCCACAACATGCGTCCAATGCACCCGCGCATTGCCTATGATCCTCTTTTCGTTGTTCACTGCTACGACTAGCTCAAGCTATCACAGAAAATATAGTCATCAAGGACAGCTTCACTCAATCCGACGAAGGCGCTATGCAGTGCTCGAGATGCATCGCCGTTCGAGCAGATTCAGAACCATGATTGATGACCGCGGGATTAAGTATATACATCTATTCTCGCTCAGCCTTGACACGAACATCGCTGTGGTCGACAGACATCCCGACGGGGCGACCGTGTGGTGAGCACTGGCCGATAGACCTAACGAACGGCGTCAGCAAGAGGCCCGAATGCTTGCAATCGACTGGGGACAAAATGCGCAAGAGTAGAGTTCTGGGGAACATTTGTGTACCTCCAGCGCCCTCCGAAACAAAAGAGATCCCAAGGAACATTGGACAAAAAAACACGCACATCGGACCCCAATACCGGTGCACGCTCGGTAGCTTCGCGTCCCTCGTCAGCTGGATATCCTCCGCATTCTGCGTGCTCATGAGCAGATGCTGCTCGTTCCGCTTCACCCAGATCTCCTCTGGCACTTGCAGCTTGGTGAGCCAGCGCGTGATGGAGGACGAGGCCGTCGTCGGCTCCGCCCCGAATTTGTACCAGGTGAAGCCTGCCGCGGAGAAGGCGGCGAGATAAAGCCACATGCGGGAGCCAAAGCCTGAATTCCGCGAGCGGACACGACGGGCGTCAGCATGCTCCCACTGAGCGATCGAACGCGGAGAGTAGAGGTCGGAGACGCACCCTCCGCAGGGTACACGGTGGTGTCAACTTCGTGATGGTGGTCGTGCTCATCGTGAGCATGGTCGGATGCGCATCTTCGCTGGTGACCGGCAGTGATAGTGCCCGATGTTAGGCGGGTGCGAAGGGCTCCCCGAGCCCGCGCGAGCGACATGGTGTGTTGGGAGACGAGCAGGGAACTTGCCGGAATGACCGCACGCGGCATGCGCCCTGCCCTAGGGTGGATGCATCACATGACTTCTCCAGGACCAACCCGAGTCCGCCGTTTCGTAGTTGTTTGAGTTTCGTCTTGGTCCGCCGACTCTCTGTACCGTCTGATTTGGTTACTGCCAGCAGATACCCGTACAACACATGAACGCGAGCCAAATTGCGCAACACGCGACAATGGTAGCAGTTATTGACAAAGCGCGCGTACAACATCACTGCTATACCTCCCGAACCTGGCACTAGCCTTCGGTTTAGAAGCTCAATATCCGTAGTCCACAATCCTCCTCGAAGTCCTGACGACAGGGGTTCATTATAGTAAATAACAGCGCTGTCGATGAGCCTGAACACTCACACAGCCGATGAATCCATCTTCGTATATCATCCATTCCAGCGCAGCATCAAATCCTTCATTAGGCGCCTTCGCGAACATACGGTGCGGTATTTCTGTGACCACATCTTGCTTAAAGACATCGCCTCGCTCTGTCTTGTAAGACGATAAGCAATCCATGAACTCGAGCCCATCGCTGTCGAGGGTTGGGTCAGAGATTACGGCCGGAATGCGATGCACGTTGAAGTCCAATATCACCACGCCTTGCATATCCGTGTCGTCGGAGCGTTGATCCTTTATGATCACTCGCTCACCCGATACCGCACTGATGATGAACAGGTCATGAACGATGAACCTATGGTTACGGGACCACGAACCTCGGCATGCGAGAGTACATGTCGCAGAAGCGCAAATGCGCCTCTCGCGGTCCCCAGTCATCCCACGCAACGACGCGGCATTCGGTCCAGTCTTCCTTCAGCGCTTGTGCAAGGCGTCTGACAAACGTGCTTCGGCGAACGCAGACCACGCACTCTTCGCCATCGGGATGTCGTGCACCGTAGTACGATATGCGAAACAAGATTATCCCCGATTCTAGATCAGGTCTGAAAGGTCGTCGCTTGCCAAGGTCGGCTTGACTTGTTGAGGGTTGTACCGACATGCTTATGATCGATGCCTTGGCTTGCAAACGGGGTAGATGGAGCACCGCAAGACGACGAGGATCTTCATAAAGTCCACCGTCCGCATCACGGAAGGAGTAAAGCTGGATTTCTCCGTTCTGTTCCGGAGAAACCGCGAGAAACATGCCGTCGGACAAAAACGAGAAGCCGCATGTGTATGCGAGTGATTTGTTCTGGGGAGGGACAGGGTCGGTGACACGGACGTCGCGCAGTTCGTGATCGCTTACCTGTACCAGGCAAGCACCACTTTTCCAATCCCATACAAAGAGCCTCATCATATGCAAGGACAACCAAGTCAGCGCAATGAGGTCCCCGTGGATATAAGCTTCCACTTCCTGCGTGCGGGCAGACGACGTTGAGATTTTCAGAAGAGGCGTGTGAGCCTTTGGATGGACGACTTGGGTAGTCAGTGCCCGCAGATGAGCAGCAACCGGAACTCTGAGCAATCAATTGGGAATCTACATACCATTGGACAAATTTGGCTGAGACATACCTATTGCCATTGCCCTGGATAAACACGACGAGATCCTGAGAGGGGTCGAATGCAAGCGCATTAACGGGTCCGTCGAGGAAGTCGATGACCATCTCGTTGACCACCATCTCGGGAGCCGTGGTGGTTGGCAAATGCTCGGTTCGAAAAACACCGTCGTTGTATGTAGCGAAAACGCCCCCCGCAAACCGATGATGTGTTCCCTCGAAGGGAGACTCTTCATCGTCAAAGGGCAGTGCATTACTGCTTTTCCAGCAAATGGTGGACAAGGCAGTCTCGTGGAACAGCAGCTTCTTCAGACAATCTTGTGCAGATTCCACGGCGATCGCGTTCCCGACCATGCCGCTTTTCCCGAGGGCCAAGGCGTATCGTAGATCAACATTCTCCTCGACTATGGAGGTGAGACGACGGCAGCACTATACAATGTATATCAACACGGGTCTTGTTGCCGGCCACCGCACTCACCGACGCAACACGGCAAACATCTCTGCCAGCAGGGAGGTGTACCAGTACCTCACGTAGAAGTTCGTCTGGCAAGCTGAGCAAGCTCTTGGTATTACCGCCAGTCATCACCGCTGCTGCTCAATGCATACGATGGGGTCGTTGCTGATACAGGGGGTCAATGGACCTCAGAATCCGTGTCGTTGATCGCAGTCCGATTCTGGTACGAAAACACAGTGGCTAAAGCGGAACTTGGTCAATTCCCCGGAGCCAATGCGAATGGACCTTCCACAAGTACCTGATTTAAACGAAACGAGAGGCGAGAAGCGAGAGGCGGCGAGTTCATTCAGCAAGTAAAGGGGCCGACCGGAATGCATCAGATCTTGTCATCAAAACCGTGCGAATATTACCGTTGTTACATAGGTCGGGCTCCAGGATAGAGTTCAGCTTTCAGCCTGAAAAGCCAAACTCTACAGGGATCATGAACTCAGTGCCCAAGCTCATAGTTCGAGGTTGTGCAATGTTATTAGTGACGGCTTACATGCCTGGCAAGTTAGGGAAAAACGTTCATGCCACGGCTTCGAATTCGGCAAAGTGCGAGGCCTGGGTACCGTTATCATGACCGCGCTGGACAATACTACTTACCACCTCCCATTCCTTACCTTGCCAGCACGAAGTGCGCTGCAACCTTCCGAATGTCAGGGCTAATTTTGAAAAAATATGTAACGTCTCCAACTTTAGCACGTGAACGTAACATCAATGGCCAATCCATAGTCGCCGACTACGTGGCTCTGAACTTCAGCCTTCATTGAGGGAATGATAGAGAGAGAGTTAGGCAATACGCGGACTGCAGAAATAGTCAAATGATACTCGCCTGAAAAGTATAGTCCTTCTTGTTCACCGTCATGACGTTAGACGTAGCAGAGCTCGTATACGTTGCATCTGACCCAGTAACGCTCATGCGCGCCAAGACCTTCTCGCTGAGCCCTAGTTTGGCATTCACGAAGCCAACCGTAGTATAGCCTCCAGCTGCCGTCGCAGTACCAGCGAAATAGACAACTAGATTATAGATATCGGCAACCTCATCCAGGCCAGGGACTCTATAAGCAATCAGTCCCTCGATATCAACGTCGGACGGGTCGCGACTGAAGAACCCTGCAGGGACAGCAGTGATGCTCTTCGCCAACTGGGGGCCGAGTGTTGAATGTCCGCTCCTCAGGTAGAAGCTGCTCGGGTCGGTGGGTATCAAGTCAAAGTGAGAGTCCGGAACCCCTGATCCCTTCCCCGCGTTGTTGTGGATGACGATGGAGACAGAGTATGTGTTCGAATCCTGCGCCATGATCGTGAGAGCAAAGTCGTAAAAGTTCACTGCCTAACGCACGCGAGTGATGAAGACGTGGCCTAACATGACGGTACTGAAGAGGCAAAGGGGTAAGACGGCAGGGGAGCGTTTACGGAATAGCATTGTGTCCTCGTAGCTCTCGTCGCGCAGATGGTCCGTGAGAGTCGGAGTGACAGTTGAAGAAGTACCGGGTACGGAGCTTGGAGCATGAAGTTTGAAAGTTCAAGAAGCTATTGGCTGATGAATGGTGCCCGCACTTTCTGGAGGAGAAACGACGACACCTTACCAAACCGGCTTTCAACTGTTCAAACGACGGCTTTCGGCATGGACGAAGACCCTGAGCAGCGTTTTCCACCTTCACAGGGATCAGGACGTCACTGGAAACGTCAATAAGGCTACTAAGACTCACTATGAACGACGTTGTTGCTGCAAGCACGCTGTACGCGCTGGGTGCCAAAGGCCATGCCGGTCCTGGGAATCTGGACTCTATCAAAGTCCGCGTTGCCTTCAATTTCTGGCGAGCAACCCCTTCATCGGGATCAACATCAATCCGCAAGGAGTTAGGGAGCACAAGCGCAGGAGTAAGTGAGGCAGGCCATTTCAGTATCTTGAGCGAGCAAGTCAGCGTGATGACGCAATCGCTCGAGACTTCTAGGGATTCTACCTACCTACCTAACATTCGATCACTTTCTCTACCAAATCGTCGAGAAGTAACGAAGAACATCAAGCAAGATCACCGGATCTGGAGTTGTTGCACTCGGAAAGTATCGAGGTCAAATCGACTTCGCCGCTTCATATACCCAATCAGTTCAAGAGAGCGCAGCACTTCCTTCGCAGTGGCACTAGTATTCAATCCGCCTGCATATGAGCATATACGATCTTCACGATGGACTCAGACTTCCATGTACTTTTGGTGATCCTTAACCGATAGCGAGCCTAGAGCTCGGCACAAACATCCTGGCATGTGCTTCATACTCAAGCGTTTTGTCAATGAGATGTTTCCCCTGTGAGCATGCAAGGAGGTTTGTCTGCAGACCGATGTCGATGAGATACGTAGTCGCACATGAAGTAGTACAACGGCACCTATTTCCACGAATGAATGCGAAGGCCACGCGGCTTGGCAGCGGACCCGTCAAAGTCAAGCTGTCAGTCGTCCCCGTCCGAACGAGCACGGCCCAGCAAATTCAAACTTCGCTCCAGCTCGCCGCTTCTCCCTTTCCACCGCCGACCCGGGAATCGTCCACGCTTCGCTTCGCCTTCGGCACACAAAAACATCCTCTCGCACACCCTCGCCCCCCCCCCCTCCATGGCCTCTTCGCTCCGGCACACTCCATCCGCACGCCCATCTCCATCCCACCCGTCACCGCTACCCGCCCCCGAGATCAGGCTTCAGATTTCGCAATCGCCGCTCCTCTCCGGACGCTCGGCCTCGAACGACATCGACGCCCTCGTCGCGCTCCTCGCCAAGCCGCTCCCCAGCCTCTCCTTCGCGCCCGTGCCGGTCCAGGCAAAAACCAAAGCGGCCCTGTCCGCGTCGCCCACGTCCCTCCCTCCGCACGGGCACCGAGCGCCGGCATCGCTTCCACGGGCACCCGTTCCGCCACGCACGCGCACGCGAACCCGGACCCGGACCCTGCCCCCTCAGCCCCAAACTCGCATTCCGCCCTCGCCGCCCCCGACCCGATCTCCCGCCCTGCAGCAGTCCCACGATCCCGTTCCGCCGGAGCCCGTCTCGGAGACGGACATCCTCGCGCTCCTGATCGCGCTCGAGGCCGCCGACGCGGCGCTGCACGCGGACATGTGCCGCCTGCGCGCGTCGATCCGTGAAGCGCGCGAGGGGGTGACGACGTGCCGCCACGAGCGGGCAAGGCGAGAGCGCGAGCGGCGGGAGACCAAGCGCGTCGACGGCGATTTCTGGTTGCAGGTGTGAGCGGACGAGAGAGAGAGAGACGCGCGCTTTTCGGTTTTCCTAGTTCTCTCTTGGGTTTTGTAGGGTTCTTTTTTTTTGTCACGTTGCACAATCTACGTTTTTCATCCGATCACGATTCGTCTCGTCGATTCACCCGAACGAGGGCTGACTGCGGTAGGCCTGGGCGCCGAAAAGTAGGTCAGTCTATTGCATGTTGCTGGCAAGAGGGGGTTGCGTACCTTGGGTCTCTGCTAGCATTGGATACGAGGAAATTAGAAAAGTAAGCACGACCATACACGGGAAGAAGTGGAACCGGGGGATCAAGTTCTTAATCACCGCGCTGAAGGCGCTGATATCGATTCTAACGTCGCGAATACGAAAATCCGCATGTTGGATCGCATGATGTGATTTTGTTGATCATTAGCACAAGATTAGATGCAGCGAATACGGTATATGAACGTCTTTGTGAATGCCTTGTGAAATGTGTGAGACGTTGTCTCCGGCATCACGAAAAAGACGCACCATTGTTTGATTTCCCCCCAAGCCAGTCTTATTCCTTCTTCACCCTATTACGCCCGTATTTGTCCCTGACGTGCTGTGCCGCGCGCTTGGTGCCCTGGCTGCCCGCCCATCCGCGCTTCGCCAGCCAGCCCACGAACTTGGGTGTGACCGCCGCGGTGACGCCCACGCGAAACGGCAGCAACACCGTCTTGTGGATCGTGTACGCCAGTACGATCATCGCCCACAGACCCTCCTTGCCGGTGCCCGCGCTCTTCTTCGCCTCCGTCTGCGCTGCGGCGTCGGCGGCCTCGTGGGCCTCCTCCTCTTCGCTGGAAGACGCGGGAAGGAGCGACTTGATGTACGCCTTGGCCGCGGCGGCCCACTGCGAGACCTTTTCTGCTCCGAGGAAGTTGATGGCGGCGAAGGTGAGGCCAAAGTCGACGGTGGAGGCGGCGATGTACACGCCGAGGGCGTACCAGCCGTAGGCCTTGATGAGATGTTTGAGGCGCTGGCCGAGCGAGGCATCGGACGGGAGGTCTCGTGGATAAGACTCTTTCGAGCCTGATGACGAGGAGGAGGACGAGGAAGACGAGGATGTCGAGTTGAGACGGAATCGAGGGAGGGCGGCTGCGCGTCGGAAGGGGAGGGCGACTGGAGAGGCGCGGAAGAGTCTGCTGGCGCCGAGCACCGGAAGACGCGTAGCTGCACGCATGGCGGATAACCGCGTGGCGGCGCAGGGCAACGTTGACAGAGTCGTGCTCGCCATGCTCGACGATGAGCGGGAACGTTCAGGCTTCGTCGCTTGGGCGCGCGACGAGATGTCCGTCGGCTTCGGATGTCGTCACTCGGCGGCAGAACGGCGTCGCCCGGAGTGCAGGAACGCGGGCTGTGCATAATTTTGCAGGGACACGTGACGTGAGCCCCCCTAAGTTCTCCTGATGGGCCATCGATCCTAGCAAGTGGCCGAAAGGACGCAAAGGCAGGAGGCAAAGGGGCCGTGCGCGCGAGCAAGAAGCGAGGCGGCCTCGACTTGAACTGACTCGAGTGGCTGGGGTGTCCGCGTCTCTGCATCTGTTCCTGCCCCGCTCGCACAACTCGCGCAACCCGCGCACAGAAAGTTATTTCAGGATATTATAGCATTTGTTGCAGCGTTCGTCCCGATGGCTCCAGACGTTTATGGCGCACCGTTCGAGGGCCCGGAGAAGCTGCTCGAGGTCTGGTTCGCCCCGAGCGCCCACGCCGTACCCGGCGCCGACAGTGCTCGGGATGGCAAGTTTGGTCTCCGCAGCGTGCCCCGCGCGGTCTGGGAGGAGATGCTCGACATTGTCAAGTGCAAGGTGCTCTCCGTCGTCCAAGGCATCGAGGTCGACGCCTACCTGCTCAGGTCAGTCCGTCTCCGATCCATGTCCACACAGCCGCCTATGCTGCTGCGCTGCCGACGCCCCCTCCCAGAGCGGGAAGAGGGACGCCTAACTTTCTTTCCGATTAAACCTTCTGCGCTCGTCACACGATCTCTATCTAACGCTGCCCCCTTCCAGCGAATCCTCGCTCTTTGTCTCCCCGCACCGCCTCATCCTCAAAACATGCGGCACGACCCTGAACCTCCTCGGGCTTCCGCGCATCCTGGACATTGCCGCTGCCCGCGCTAATCTCACGGCTGTGTACCGTCTCTTCTACTCCCGCAAGTCTTTTATGTTCCCCGAGCGCCAACAGGGGCCGCACCGCGGCTGGGACGAGGAGGTCCGCTTTTTGGACAACATCTTCGCCAACGGTTCCGCGTACACCGTCGGCCGCACGAACGGCGACCATTGGCTGCTATACATGGTCGGGCCCCAGGAGGACCAAGGGAGCTCCAGCGCGAGCGGGAGCCCGAGCATCCCACCCCGGATTCTGTCCCACAACCACCACCACCACCACCTTCATGCGGCACCAGCCATCGACGCGCCCCCGCACCCTCTGCATGCAGGCGACTGCACGATCGAAATCCTGATGACCCACCTCTCCCCCGCCGCCCGCGCGCCCTTCTTCTTCGGCGACGCGGCCGAACCCTCCGACGCCGCGCCCTCCGCGCCGTTCGACCAGGCCCACGCGCTCCAAGAGTCGATCGGGATCACGTCCCTCTTCCCCGCGCACCTCACGACCCTCGACGCGTACGCCTTCTCGCCCTGCGGATACTCGTCCAACGCGCTCCTCAAGTGGGGCAGCGCTGCCTCCTCTTCCTCCTCCACACCCAACTTCGACGGCACGGGCGGCGAGGGCTACTACACCATCCACGTCACGCCCGAGGAAGGCTGGTCCTACGCCTCGTTCGAGTGCAACGTCCCGCTTCCCTACCGCCCCTCGGGCTCCTCCGCCGTCGACGACGCGCACGCGATGCCCGACCTCCAGACGCTCGTCCGCCGCGTCGTCGACATCTTCCAGCCCGGCCACATCACCCTCACCATGTTCGTCTCCTGCGCGGACTCGGCGACCGCCGAGGAGGAAGAAGACGAGAGCGCGGTCGAGGCTGCTCAGCGCGCCTTCAAGGCTGCGCTCACCAGGCCGCAGAGCGCAGGCGCCCAGCCTCGCGCCAACGAAAAGAGGGAAGAACCGCCCGCGTCTCCGTCTATCCTGACGCGTTTCTGGTCTTCCCTCCCTTTGCCCTTCGCCTCCGCTGACAAATCGCCCGCCGAGCCTCGGGCGGTCGCAGCTCCGGGTATCGACATTCCCGTCAAGGAAGAAGTCGCCGGTCCATCCGAGGTTATAGCCGAGGAGAAAGCCCCCGCGTCATGGGGTAGACTATACAGGCGCACCGACAAAATCAACTACGAGTTCCGCGGGTACGACCTCGCCTTCGCCAGCTTCGAACTACGATAGCATCGCCGTCCGATAAAAATCCTACAATGCACCGCGGAGACTATATGACCCCACACTAGAGACAGCTAGAGACGCTGCGTTCCTCCTCTGTCCCCGACTCGACCGAGAACCGTTCTTTGTATATCAGCCGCAATCGTTTCGCGGACTCGCTAGATATCCCTCGCGCGCTCCCAGCGCACAGTAACGAACTTTGACGCCTTCCTCGGTCACCACCTCGACCGGACTGTGCTTGCACCTCCCAGTATCGCCTACCACGTCTGTTTGCATCGCTATCCCTGTTTCATATCGAGCTACTCCATATAATACATCTCATAATCCTTTCGATAAGGCTACAGCGTGAGGGTACAAGCATCAAGCAAAGGTTCGTCGGAGAACTCAGAATCGGGCAGGGTACTGTCGCGTGCCTGAAGGTGGGATATTATGGAACGACGCCGACGAGATCGCGGGCGGGGTTCCCGCCGTGGAGGTGGACGCGGAGAGCGTGGACGGCCTGGGCGTCGGCGCTAACGAAGGCGATCCGGTCGAGGTGGGTGGCGGTGCTGGGGCCGCCTTCGCGCGGAGGTTGCACAGCGGGCACAGCCGGACGAACATCTCCGCCATCGGCCAGGTGATCGAAGCCTGTGCATAAAAACCAGCCCTTGAGCAAACATGCGCAAACACCACGAGAGAACGTTTCGCGAGGGAAAAAAAAAGGGAGGAACGAGAGAGAGAGCGCGGGCGGACTCACCATGCCAACCGCGCGCACCTCGGCGAGCATGTCCGCGGCCGAGCCGTGGTTGCGGTGCGCGTAGACGAGGATGTCGAAGATCTGTTGCTGGACCGGGAAGCGCTCGAACGTGTCTGATATCTCGGGCACCGCATCCGCGACCTTCTCGCCCGCCTCGCCGTACCACTGGTGGTCGACGCGCATCGCGAGCTCCTCCCTCCGGCGCTCCTCCTCGTCCCGCCCGATCCCGTACCGGTCGTCGCGGAGGAGCACGAGCAGGTGCATCTTCGTCGAGCCGGCGCGGACGTGATGGAACGTCACCCACATGTGCAGCCGCGGACCGAGCGCGGCCGTGTCCCCGTGCTGAATGGCCTTGCACACGTTCGCGTACGGATCGGGCGCGAGCGCGGCGGTCGCTTTGAGCTCGGCGGAGAGGTCGCCGAGGAAGCGCGCGAGCGCGTCGTCGAACGCGTGCCGCGCCGGCATCTCGATCGCGTTCGCCGTCTGGGTGAGGTAGTTCGTGATCGGGGACGGGAGCGGCGCGAAGGCCGGGTGCAGCCACGGCTCGACGTGCGGCGGCGCGAGGACGACGTTCGGATCGAATTGCGACCGGCCGACGACGGGGAGACTGCTCGTCGACGTGTGCGTGCGGGAGAGCGGGGGGAGAGTCGGCTTGGGCGTCCAGTAGTGCGCTTGGTATTCCGTTCGAGGGCCGAGAGGGGCGTAGGGCATCGTGCCCAACGGCGGCGAGCGATCGCGGTCACGTTCGTCCATGTCCGAGCCGGAGGCGGAGGTACGCTCGAGCGGCGGTGGATAGCCGGAGATGGAATGAGAGGCGTGAGTGTAGGCGGAGGCGACGGTCCCGGTGCTCGGATAGGCTGAGACGGATGCGGACGTGGACGCGAACGAGGGGCCATGCTGACCGTCCTTGACAGGAAAGGCGACATTGAAAGAAGGGATATCAGACACCAGGAATGAGGCTGTTTTGGCCGTATAGGGCATTACCGGTCGGTCGCGGGTGGGCAGGTTGTGGTCCGAGGGAACCTTGTGGCGCTTCTTCGGCGTGTAGACGCATTCGGTTTCGCCGTCTTCGCTGCAGTGGTTGCAGATGGGGAGATCGCGGTTGCACTGGAGGAGGAAAAGCGGAGGGGATCAGGTTAATAGCCGATGGGGAGGTTTTCTATGTGGCGCACCTTTAGATTCTTAAGTCGGCAGCGGTCGCATCGGGGGATACCTCTATGGGCTGGGGTAGGCAGGGGAGTATACTTGCAGACCCTTCCAGCTCCAAATCCACAATGGTTGCACGTCGGAAGCACCCGATCGCACTGGAAGGAAAAGGCGGGTCAGTATGTGTGGCGCAGACGACATCGATAGATGACGCGGAATGGACCTTAAGATTGTTAAGCCGACAATGGTCACATCTTGGCTTGCCCCTCCTCCCCTTCCACTGAGACTGACGTTGCATGTACATCTTCGGGTTCGGGATGCGGATCGTGAGCTGGCTGTCGTCGGGCTGTGGAGAGGCGCCCGAGTCGGAACCTGCAGGGGTGTCTGCCATGAGTGCCGGGTGGTCGAGTATTTGAGGCGATGCTGCGGCGAAGAAGGTGTCAATATCCACGCACAAGGCTTCACACGTCTTAGATAAGGAATTCACCGCGGTTTGGGCAAGCTCGAGGGCGAGAGAACCGCGTGGAACTGTGCAGGCCCGAGCACCACGAGGACCAAACTTTGCCTGAGATCGCAAGAAACTTGCAGGGGTTTTCTTTCGTAGATGTCCAGAGGGTTTTTCTGAAGACCGAACGAGCGCTGAGTCGCAGAGGTAGAGGACTACAGAGAGGAGTGAGAGACACTCGGAGGTACTTGGTTTGATGATTTCTAAGAAGCCTCCGCCAACTTAGTCGTGACCGTCACAGGTTCAGCGAAACCTTCCCACGTTTCGTTCGACTCATCCGCTTTCGGTGCTTCGCCTCATCACCTCGCCGATAAGCGCACACAACGAGGTCGCTCCAACCACAGAAGCCGCCCCTGGTTCTCATGCTGGCAAGCTTGCCGCCCATTATGAACTCTATGTTACGTATCTGATCGCCATCATACGTGCGATATAGCAACGGTATAGCATCGTGGGTGCATTCTCCCCAAACAATCCCCTTGAGCACACCTAGCAAACGCCTCGTCTGACGATATGTAATCACAGTCGCTTTACAACATATTACTCTGTGCCGCGGCCGTCGTCTGGGGGGTAATTAGCTTCGCCGCCAAGTTGGCGTCTACCACGGATATTCGTTCCACGAATTTGAGAAGCGGTGTCGGTCGCCCGAATGATAGCCGAATCAAACCTGGCTTGCCGTTCTGGGCCAAGGCGACCCGATTGCTCCCTCCCTCACTTGCGCCCGATTGCGATGCTCGCTCAGCATCTCATGACCCTCCTCGTCGACTCCTCGAGGCATGCATTCTCTTTCACATAGATGCTTTGGCCTCTTCCCGTAGCTCCATGGATCATCCCCAAACCCAGGTCACAGGTGAATCGGCCGTGACGTGGACGAACGGACAGCATTCGGGAGTTTAGACGGCATTATGGGGAAACGGTACGGCATTCAACTGCTTGGAGAGTGGGGACTGAGATGGGACGGATGCTCCCAGAAGCCCGTTATTCTTACTTACACTCTGCCTTTCTAGGTTCCGCCAACTTCGCCGTCCCGCTCGACAGGCCTGGATCATACCCCACTGTTCGCGGAGTTCAGTCGGAGTATCGGAGCTACAAATGCCCAAAGGCGGCATGATGGGCGGGAAGACAGCCTCTACTCAAAGGAACCTTGTTTATCGGGGCTTTCCCAAGCTGATGACTTCTGTTGTATGGCGTCAACATGGTCAATTCGGGAAACATTGGGTAAGTGCACTGGGCCCCCGTCTGTGAGAACGACTTCATCCTATTCAGCAGGACGCACGTGTTTTACGAGAACCTCATGGCCCTCCCTCCGCGAAATCCTGCTTTGTCCCTCTTTGATGCTCATTGCCGCTTCTCAGCATGCAAACTAAGGCTCCGCGGGCTTCTCGGTCGCTCAAGATACCACGAATGCATTTATTTTTGGCGTTGCACCTGCGCTCGACGTCCCAAATGAGCACCGTCCTCTCATCCAGGCAGTATTTGACACACGGAAGCTGTCAAAATCCCTGCCGACCTTGATCCTGGCCCTCCTTTTTTGATCGTCAGCCGACCATGTTGCTCGAGCTGGTTACTCCATAGGCCACAGCCCTCCGAACGAACGTGGGTTCCGATCTTGCCGTTGTCTGGTACAAATACTACATGGCATGGGTGACGGTCGCAGCCGTTGACGCATAACTTGCGTGGCCTGAACACGTAGCCTGCACCTGCACGATGCTGCCGTTCACCCTTGTCCTGTCGATCCTACCTTTGATCCGGGCGTCGGCGGTGCCTCGTGCTTCGGATGCTGTGGCCTTCTTTGCACCTTCTGCAGGTGGCGGCTCCGAGCTGGATATTGCAGGTACTGGAGTCGGCGAGCCTCTCAACGTGAGTGATGGCCCCAGCTCAGAAACAAACGACCAGATGAGTAACGTTTGCTCATAGGTGATCATCTCCGGCTTGAGTTCTTCAGCCGTTCTGACGGATGATGGAATCTTGAACTTTGCTCGTGCTATTGGCTTGTAGGAGGTTTCCGGCAATAAACCAGATTTCAACCATTCAATGAGAACGCAGCTCCACAGAATGTCTCGGTATTCATCTCGGGAACCCTCAGCAGGCCAATCTTGGTGATGGGAATGGCGCGCTCAATCAGACCGCGGAGGTACGAATGGATGACCGCATCGCTATCGCATGGACGGACCGCTGATGGCACACGGGGACCATCCTTCGCAGCTTCGTGAGGACTTCGGGGATCCGATACTCGGAACATGCGAAGAGAGCCTTACGGGTGGAAACCATTTCAGGTGATGCCGACGACAGCTACATTGATCGAGGCTGATTGGATTGTATCAGGTATTGGCGACAGAATGGTCCAAGTGCGAACAGTGGCGCCCTCTTCCTCGCGTAAGCAATAAAACTCTGTCGTGAAATGTGATTCTGAATCCGATGAACTGAATGTTACAGCGTCTCTCAGGAGGAGGTCAGTCTCATCCCGCTGCGCTTAGCCAACCCGAAGCTTACGTGGAAATAGAATGTCACTGAGGACCACACGATCGTTCCCGATGGGTATAACATCGGAAGGTCTGTCAACCTCGACTCGTTATCGATGATCTTGTTACGAACAATGATACCTGTACTTTCAGAAATGCGCTGGCAGCGGCCGCCACAGGGACCACCAGTTTCAGCGGGGTCACCTACTCCACTACGGCCCAGAACATAACTGACCTTCTGGCCCCCGGGAGTGCCGGGGTTAACCATGGTGCGCCTGTGGCTAATCGGACCGTAACGGTGCCTGACAACGTGTACAGGTATCTCGCAAGACGGCATCGTCACTTTGTTGACTGTGACGATCACCTGAGCCTCGCTAGGCCACTTGGCAATGCATGATACTTATCCATGACTATATCAGGGATATTGGCATCTACTATTGACCTATCGGAATCATGCTGTTTATCCAGTATATTTGTATTCTCGCTCGTTCTCGTGGGCGGACATACGTCGGAGACCATCCTGCCATACACGGCGTCGGGGAAGCAGCGGCTTGGGAACTTCCTGCGGCCATCATCTCGTTACGTAAGTTCCGGGTGCAACTTCACACCGCAACGTACTTGTGCAGTTCGTCCGGGCGTGTACACGGCTGCTTCTCACAATTCTAGCACAAACTGGTCTCCGGCGGCATGTGCTCGCTCTGAACAATTAGACTTTGACCGCCGCCGCCGCTCCCTATCGGAAATCATTAGGCCCTGACTTGGCGACCCAGACTTCACAATTCGCAGGTGTCAATGAACGTGGGGTTTCCGGTATGGCCTGGACATTCCCGGGCACAAATAGATAACATGGTCCAAAGACCAGGATGCGAGTGGAAACGCAGCACTCTTTTCGCCCTCGCCCTCGTCCTCCCTCGCGATGCTATCGATTCTGTTGGTTTTGCCTCTAATTAAGGCTTCGGCAGTACCCCGCGCGACGCAAGCTCTCCTCCCGTTCCTCGATCCCGTACTCGGATTAGGCTCAGAGCTGACCATCGCAGGGTCGGACGGTGGAGAGCCTTTGAACGTGAGTCCCATCTTGCGATCACATGTGCCCCAGACTGATAATTGATCCATCGTCACAGGTGATCGTATCTGCGTTCAGTTCTGCATCTGTCTTGACGGATGACGGTTTTCGCGATTGGGTCGGCGCTATCGGCTTGTGGGCAAGACGTTGATAGCATGCGAACATGATAAACGTTAAACAAGTATAACAGCGACTTGGAATGTTTGGACATCAGCCTTGGCGCTCCTCAGCAGGCTAACCTTGGCGACGGCAATGGTGCACTCAATCAGATTGCGCAAGTAGGTTCTGAGATGTACGGACACCGACACTGTCCGTGCCGCTGAATGCTTGAAAACAGTTCCAAGAAAATTTCGGAATTCCGATAGTCGGTTCATGTTTGGAGAGCGTTACGGGCGGTGTTCATTTCAGGTATTACCATCCATGTGTACGAGGTTAGCCAATCCGAAACCTGACCCTGTTACAGTTATTGGCGACAGAATGGACCATCATTACTTGGGCTTGCAAACACCGGAGCTCTCTTTCTTGCGTGAGTGGTACGACATACCCCCATCGGAGTCCGCCGCTAACGTGCTCGATGTCAGTGTCTCCCAGGAGGAGGTTAGCAGTGTCACGTTTTAGGTCAAATAATCCCATACCCAAAACGTGCACAGAGCCTTCTAGGACTTCACACCATCGCTCCAGATGGCTATAACGCTGGAAGGTGTGTGCAAGCCGGTCCTGGGCCCCCGACCAAACTACTGAACGAGAGAACATCCAGGAACGCGTTCGTAGCCGCTGCAGTGGGCTCCGTCAGCTCTGGCGGCGTCACATATACAACGACGGCATTGAACGTCACAGGCCTTCTGCTTCCCGGCAGTCTCGGTATCAGCCAAGGTAAGCCCGCGAGTCTGAGATCAGCTGACCTCTCTGATAACGTGTGTACATCATATAGGTATCGCACAAGATGGCATTGTCACTCTGTTGACCGTGATAGCCACATGAGTATCGCATACAAGATCTATGCTACCAATATGCCTGACAGTATCGGCGCAAGACGGAACTGTTACTAGTACTTGTGTTGATTGTAACGATCACCTGCCTTGCGAGGCCACCTGTACCGTCGTTATCATCTCCAGCATCCTAAATCTAGGCCATGGTGATTCATTGTGACCCCCTCATAGTCATATTCGTGATTCTGTATGTTCATAACTAGTCAATGAGTTCTCCTCGGCGATGGGCGGTTATACACCCATGTGTCTGGGAACTTCCTGTTCTGTTACGTAACCTCTGAAATATGCTCTACGCTCACCCACGTTATACGAGTATCCCCGAGCGTGTACACGTTTGCTTCTTACAATCCATTCTAGCTCGGGCTAGTCTCCGACGGCGTGTGCCAGAGTCAAACCAATGGATCTCGACCGTCGTCGATCCTAATCGCAATCATCACGCCCTGACTTCGTGACCCTGGGTGTGTGGGCTTTGATCTTGCTATTATCTTGTATAAATACCAGAAAGCGCGGTCCAAAGCGTCAGCTGTGCATACGGATAGCTCTTCACCTTCACTTTTCCCCCGTGAACGGAATGTTGTTGTTCTTGTCGGTCCTGCCGTTGATTCAGGCCGCGGCGTCGGCCGTACTGCCATTCTCCAATCCTATGCTCAGGGGCGGCTCGGAGCTGACCATTGCAGGAAATGGAGTAGGCGAGCCTATGAATGTGGGTCATATTCTATGCATCGAGTCGCTATCGTTCTTGTGCGTAGAATGAAGGATGACACGATATCGCAGGTGATCATATCTGGACTCAGTTCCGCACCTGTATTGACGGACGACGGATTTCTTGGTTGGGCTCGCGCTATTGGCTAGTGGGCATTACCTTGGTTGGGCACAGCCATAACGAACGCTGACGAAAGAATCGCAGCGACGAAGAATGCCTGGACATCAACCTCGGCGCTCCCCAGCAGGCCAACCTTGGCGACGGCAATGGCACACTGAATCAAACAGCGGAGGTATGCTTTGAGTGCCATGCATGTTGATCCCGTTGCCTAAACGTTCAACGACAGTTCCGTGCTAGCTTCAATCTCCCAATCATCGGGACTTGCCTGGAGGGTCTCACGGGCGGTGGTCATTTCAGGTATTGAAATAGATGTGCTGCGGTTTACTCGTTGCCCGGACCCTCATTCCCCTTCAGGTATTGGCGACAGGATGGGCCACTTGCAAATACCGGAGCTCTCTTCCTTGCGTGAGTAGCACTGTGCAGCATACACGTCTGATCCAGTTTCTAACATTCAGAACATCAGCGTTTCCCAGGAGGAGGTGAGCAGCGCTCCCTTTGCAGCTAGATTGTTCCACGCCCAAACACATACATGTCACAGGGACTCCTGACAGGTCAGACCATCGCTCCAGATGGTTATAACGTCGGAAGGTGCGTGCAAGCCGATCATTGGGTCTAGTCCTGGCTCATAGAATGCACGATTAGGGATGCGTTCGTAGCTGCCGCAAGCGGCTCCGTTAGCTCTGGCGGCATCACATACACAACGATAGCCCAGAATATCACATGTCTTCTGCTTGCCGGAAGTTCCGGTATCAACCAAGGTCGGTCCAAGAGTCATTGATTAGCTAGCCTATCTGAGAGCGTGCATATATGGTATAGGGATTGCGCAAGATGGCATCGTCACTTTGTTGACTGTAACAATCGCATCCGAATCGGATGAACTAGGGTGTTAATAATGATAGAGTTCCTTGGGTTCATGGGTATGCTACGGCATGTCTGAATTTGTAAAATACAATTGTGTGTGCATGCGGCTTTCCAAGGCATAACGTGGTGAAGAGTTCGAGACAAAGGCACATTACTGAAGTGTAATCGGCACCGCTGCATGTAAGCCCAACGGTACCTTGACTGTTATAGCTCCTCCACATCATTATCATCATCATCATCTTGAGTGACCATGGCGGTAGCGTCCTCGACCCAGACGTCATCACTCCCTTCTCGAAGATGGTCGCTCAACAAGTCCATGTGGTCGTCACTCTGCTGTAGCTCGAGCTCCGTTTCCGCATATCCATCTTCCGAAGACTGAGTAGGTATCCAACTAGGGCCATACGTATCTTCCAATGGTCTGCGAGTAACGCGAGCGAGGACGGCGTCAAGCTGTGCGAAGTTGGCGTCGTCCATGGCGAATCTGCGATGCTTGCTGCCATTAACGTGCTGAGAGGAGAGTCGAGGGTACGAGTCAGCTCGCATCAAAGCGCGAACATCACGATGGGTCTACCTTAGCGAAGTCTTCGAACTTCGTCCTACAGCTCTCGCAATAGCCAGGTTTGCTGCCCTCGTCACGCTTCGGCAAGCGCAAGGTGTTCGTGCTCTTCGCCTTCTTCAGAAAGCCCTGTCGCCGTTCCGGAATGACCGATGGGGGGCCCATGAGGCCCGAGTTCTCCTTGTCTGCATCGGCGTTGCCTGTCACCTTACGTGACGTAACAACTTGTCGTTGGAGCTTGTCCTGAAGTGAAGCGGACAGTTGCAAACCACGTAGGCCACTCCCGGCAGTCGACGTGGTGCCCGTCGTAGACGTGATGCCCACGCTATTCCCAGACGCTGCCATATAGTTTCCTGGACCTGATGCCAGATATCCGGATGCATTAGCGGAATCAGGCGCAAAACTCCCGTCGGCGTCGGCGTCGGGGACGTCCGGGTTGGATTCGCGTCGATGGAGGTTGGCGAGCGAGACAGTTCGGCGAAGGTCGCCCGATTTACGTGACTGAGCTTGGAGACGGAGCTGTGCCTCCCTTCGTTTCCGTTCGAGCGATCTCCTATGGGCGTTGAGGCGTGCTGCTTCCTGCTCTCGTTCCGCGCGTTCTTGCTTCTCCCATTTCCGCCGTTCTCGCTCGTCGAACTCGATGAATGGACCTCGTGCTTGGGGATGACAGTGTAATACGGGCCAGTCGCCTCGTTCTGTACCATCACGATCTCTTCTAACAGCGTATTCTTGTATCGCTATGGGAGCGAGCTGTTGCCACATATCTTCGACAAGAACGAAGTAGCTTCCTTTGGAGAAATAACGGAAGTCGTGCCGCCTCTGAGTGGGATCGCGTTCCAGAAGCCCGCCTCTTCGTTCCGACTCGAGTAGACCCCTCAGAGATCGTTGAGTTGACCCGGAAGCGATGGCCACCGTCTCAGCTGGCTGCGCGGCTGGCATCGCTGAAGTCGCTGAAGGCATACACCGTTCAAGGACACTCTCGAGTTTGTACATGTTCCAGATCTTCATGCCAAACTTGAGGGCTTCTTTGACCACCAGATCGTCTGCTTGGCGCTTTTCGCCCCTGGAAGCTAGCTGCAGTAGATGAATCGGAGAAGAGGGCGGGTGACCAACCTGTTCTTAGGTTTACTCGGGCTCCTATGCGCCACGACTTTAGCACGCGATTTTGAATTCTCCTTGCTTTCGTCTTTGCTTTCTGCGGGAATGGGTAGGTTGGTAATGAGGTGGGTGATGTCATTCGAGAAGAAGTCATCCACGCGCTGGTTTCCTTGGGTCAGCTAGTCTATAAAGGACGAGGCGACAAGACGTACACCGCCAAGGTTGATAACTCGATTCTGGAGCATTTTCACGTCCTCGGCATCTCCATCGGAAACATCGAAGTTGAAGTAAAACACCCAAGACGGGAACGCTTTCCGGTACTTGACACGGAATTCCTCCTTCTGCGCCTCCCGTTCCGCGCGTCTGCGATCTCTCTCCTTGCGTTCGGCATCCGCTTGAGGGTATACAAGAGGTTTTGGGCGTTTCGAGTACAGCTGTGGCAACTCGCCAGCCTCCGGCGACCGCGGGCGTTTGGTCTGGCTGGAGGTCGCCTTGAATGGTGAGACGGCCGAGCCGAGGTTGAGGGGGACGGCTTTCATCGATAACGGGCGGCGATGGACCGTCGCCATCGTCGTCTCGCCAGAGCAGCGAGCGCTCGTCGACGCGATGCGGATCAAGAAGAGACAAGAAAGTAGTCGCTGCGAGCGTGAGGAGAGTTCATCACATGCCCATATACGGACGCGTTCACGTCACGTGTTCGCGCCGCTTTGAAGACATCGCTTTGGCGCTCACTGTGTTGCGCGATGAACTCACTGAATCCGCTCGTGGAGATCAACGGGCTCTGTGTCGACGATGTTAACCTGGCCGAGACTCGTCCGGAATTTTTTCTTCCTAAGCTTGAAGATGTCCCCCAGAACCCCATCATGGAGACTCTCAAGCTCTCGCTTGACTTGAAACGCTTGGACGACGTGAAGGTAGCGAGTGTCCTCGATACCGGCTTGCAATGGGGAAAGCCTTCTATCCTGCAAGAAAAATCTCCCATACCTACTCCTGGCTCGTCTGCCAAGCCAGCGTCAGCTAGCCGATATCCTGGCGATTTGTGGCGATCAGCAGCTGAAAGCCGCCAGATCATCCGGGTTAGCGCCCCCGCCATGTCTCTATTGTAGGAGGTGTTGAATATATATATGGCCCTCAGCATGCAATCAAGTCGTGGGACACCCTCCGCTCCTCGTTTCCGTCACAAGCTAGTTCGACACCCTTCCTGTCTGAGCAGTCATCGAATGTATATATGGCAGCACGTTACCAGTGAGCACCAGATCATTTTACCGTGTTCCCACTGTTAATCCTCTGTACATTTTAGTGTCATGCCACAGCTGCGACACCCTTCAATTGCGCGCGTGTATGCTACAGCTCGTGATATTGCCATGGGGCTGCGACAGACTATACTCGGGATGTCATCTCCGCTTCATATGTGGGATCCCATACATGAGCATTTTGTCCTTGAAGTGGTACTGCAGGGGAAGAACACAGATGCTGAGGTTGTCATCGAGGGCAATGATGAGATCATCAGTCAAAGGTGCGTTTATGTGCAGGAACACCTCGTAGTATGGCGCGACTGACTGCTATCGTCTGATCTGAAGTGTGCTATCTCGGTTTCTAACCATTGGGACTATTATGCGTCGTCTTGATCATCTTGTCGAAAAGATGCGTGCGCGACCCAGGTACGTGTCACGTTGATATTCTTCGCAGACTACGCCAGAAAAGAAAGACTGATAGCATACTTATTGTCTAGCTCGAGTAAGCAGGCCTTCAAATCTGCCTCGGGAGAGTCAACTATGCATGCTTTCACGCACGCTCTGTCCGCTGTTCTGGAATACATGGGAGATGAGTTGTCATCAATTGCGTTCCCTGAAAATGCTTTCGTGGACGCTTCCTCGATTACTTCAACTTGGCTTCGGTATGCCGAGTTCGAAGAAATTGCTAGGGGTATCGGTTCGCTTTGTGGGGTGGTGAGTCAAACAAATGGCATGTTGCGTATGACAAGGTTCCGACACCGTACAGGATTATGACAGGAATCCAAAATCTTATATCCCGATCCCTGACAGTCCTGCACCGTTGCTCTCTCATGTATACACTCGGCTGTCATCTCTGATCGCGCAGCGAGCTCCACGCAGGCTGCTGGCACTAGTCTCGCATCTGTTATCGGCAACGTCCCAGCCGTACTTCAAAAGTCTATCGGGGACCCTTGGCTACGGCACCCCAGTCGCAAGTGCGAGCAAGGCGGCTGGTAGTAGTCGAGCAGGCGCGTACCCTGGAGGAATGGACAACGGCTTTGAAGAGTATGAAGAAGAAACTGAGGAGGATCGCTTGTTGACCGACAGTGCCAATTTGCCTGCGTTCATCAATGACGAACTAGCCGATGCCCTGCCTAGAGCGAAGAAGTCGCTCCAGTTGTTATATGCAGCATCACCGGGGCATCCTCTCTGTACAGGTGACAATTGTGGGCCGCCACTGCGGTGGATTTGGACGGAGGCCGAGGTCAGAGAAGCATGGGGCCTCGCTCGGAGACCTTCAGAAGATGATATCCGATCCAATTTATGCGACCAGGAATCGATGATACGGCCAAAACCCGGAGACGAATCCGCTCCTATTGACCCGATCTCGAGGATCTACAAACCAGGCTTAGATTTCTTTGAAGTCTTCGACCATGAACCCTCAGCGTTCGCGCTTGGCTCTCTCGCGCAGGTTCATCGATCCTCGCAGCAGGAAAACCTACGGTCGTTCGTCAACGCGTATCCAAACGCCCTACCATCTTTGTCACCGACCTTAACGCTTTTGACGGAACTCGTCTTGGCTCCCTTGGTTAAACACATCTCTCAATTATCCGCCGCCGTGCTGGCTACATTCCTCCCGCAATCCTCCCCTAGTATCGCAACTTCCCCACCCGTGTCATCCCTATCCCCCATCCTTGACCTTCACGCGCAACTGGTCATCTTACGATCCTACCTTCTTTTGACGTCCCCGGCATTCAAGTGGAGGCTAAGCGGTGCCTTGTTTTCAGACTCGGACTCAGACGATGACCTTGATGCGGGCAGTCTGGCCGCTCGTTTCAGGATCAAACGCATACGATCAGCGTTTTCGACCGGCCATAGCGAGCATCCGTCACCTCCCGTTTGGGCTATCGGGCTCGCCCCTGCGTTGACAGGTAGAGAAACCTGGCCACCCGGGGGAGCAGATTTAAGCTTCGTTCTGCGTACCGTGATAGTGGACTCTTTGCAGACCATGTCTACTCAACGTGCTGTGAACTCAAAGAAATCTAACGAGGGACCGGAATTGGAGGCTGATGAGGATGCAGCACCACGTCTTCTGGAGGAGACTGAACGCAGACTGGGATTTGCCATCCGAGATTTACCTACTGGTCCAGGCAGAGACAGGTGGCTCAATCCTTTATGTGAGTCATAGGAAATCAAAAAATGAGCACCCAAGCTGACGTGTGTCCCGAACTTCTAGCCATCGAGTAAGCCGCGATTCTTTCTCATTTGACTCGGTAGGAATGACTCACATACTACAAGAGCTCTTGACTTCCTATACATTGACTATAAACCTCCGCATCCGACCGAAGTCGTCATCACGAGCGAAGCTTTGAACAAGTATCAGCGAATATTTTCCTATTTGCTTCGTGTCATGCGTGGTACGCAGGCTTGTCTCTTTTCCTTCAAACTAGTCAATGACGACAATCATCCAGTACATCATGTTACACTGGCTCTTTTTCGCATGTCCCGAACCGCTTACGCCGCGCTGTTTCCGACGTTCTCCGCAGCCAACAAGCGATTCCTGCAGTTGCGCTTCAGTATGCACAGCTTCGTGACCGCGCTTTTGACGTACACATTCGACACCGCCATAGGATCCAACTTTGATCCCTTTTTGTCCCGCCTGTCTACGGAATCCTTCGCAGACGTGTTTGAATTGGCACAAGAACATTCAAAGATGATGGACGAGATCCTGAGCTCCTGTTTGTTGCGATCGGCCCAGCGAGCTGCGGCCGATTTGCTCATGGGGTGTCTGGAACTTGTTTTGGACCTGGGTATTCTTGCAAGTCGAGTTCGAGGAGGAAACCTTGAAGAATATAGAGCTGTTCCAGTGCTAGACGATCTTCATTCCAAATATCGACGAAGAGTAACAAAACTGGTAAGTCTTGTCTCTTCCTTCGGATCCTTCTAGTTGACGAGCTAAACAGGTGGAAGCGCTACGAGCACTCACGGATGCAAACTCGATCGAATCCTCATCCCAGTGGTCTACCCAGCAGTTACCTTCAGGGGAGAACCATGTCAAACGCGCTCCGGGAGGGTTTAATGCATTGAAGGACTTAACCTCCAGGCTTGAAGGCATGAAATGGTAGACCGCGCTCTACCTTCAAACAGTATGGGCCGGGGAGCTGGTGTTTCGCGAGTGCCTCGCTCGTAACCAATGTAGCGCGCTTCATTGTGTTACCTACAGCTGGGCTCACCCGCGAATGCAAACACATGTATGCTCAATCGCTCGGTCGACGTTTTCTCATATTGAAACTCCGCTCGAAATGCACTCTTCCGCTCGGAATGCCCTCCGCGACCCATGGTAATCGCTACACTCTTGTCTTGACCGTACTAACCGTCACGGACCTTTCTATCACAAATACATCTCATGGTGCTCGTGGACGAGTATAGGGAAGAATACATCGACTCTGACGAGGCGATAGACCTCTTGGACGTCATTACCAGTTCGCCCTCGTCCGAACATTCACAAGGCCATGTTCCTGGAGTGTGTGCTGAAGAGGATCAGCTTCCCAATCATGAGAATGGCCTATCGAGGTATATTGCAATCTATTCATGTCTGACGTTAGGGACTGATTATATATTCTAGAGGGCAGACGGCAACGAAGGTTGAAAATACGATCATCTCGTTCTTGCGACAACTGAAGGCTTGTGGGGAACTGGATGGCCAGAGTGTTGTGGAGCTATGCCTTCGTGATCGTACAAAGGGGTCGATAATTTCGCCATATACGCGCATATATTCGCAATAATCAACGTGAACGCCCAGGTATTCAGCTGCAGTGCGCTCTATGCGACTTCCGGCAAGGACGAAGACATTTGGTTTGTTGCTGTTTTCGAAATATGGTTCAATGATCGATCGTCTGACTGCTGTACGCTAGCTCAGCTCATGAGTGTTTTGTCGTCCATCCATGAAGCCGTGGTGACGGATATGCCGGTTACAAAGCGGTAAAATGCTCACCTGCGTCCCATAACTGAATAAAACACCTGATATCCTACTCGTAGCGACATTTACTATCAAGATATCAATTTGTTTCGGACCCAATCGACCGTTGATCGTGTCAGTGCTTCTACTGCTTGACGATGTCATCTGTGCTGACTTAACTCGGTTTAGTTAGTCGATGATATTGGAGCTACATTCGAGGTCTCTCGGGCACAGCTCAACGTCGTGAGTCCATCTTCGAGATGTTGATCACGACCGAGCTCATAATCTATGGCAGAGAGCTTCCCCAAAAGGTTTGTTTCTTGGCAGCGGTCTCACCATGCATCTTGTTTCCGGGCTTCCAATAACCGGGAACGATTCGGAGGTATTGTCAGGCCCATATCCTCTAGTCATCCAAATAACGCACCGTATTCAGGCTACTATCGTGCCTCAAAACGAAGACATATCAAGATGCGTCGTCGACAGCGATGTCCGATGGGTATTAATCCTTGAGAAAGAGGCGAGTTCTCGATGCACACTAGGTGTACTGTACATGACGTCGCATGATCCAGGCTGTATTCCAAACCCTCTCCCGTAGTTCCCTCGTGACGGCCGCATCGCATCCCTCACTGGGAACACTGGGGAGGGGAATCTTGATTACGGTCCGCGTTGGGGTGTTATCTAGCCCATTATCCCTAACAGAGAATGCTGACAGGGAAAGGGATATCCGGATGTTGCTACCCGCAAGCTAGTTAATCAACTGGCGAACGACTTGCCAACAAAGTAAGCATACAGAACTCATGAAGTATATGCATCTCATCAAGGATCATCCAGTGTTCCTATCTTAGCGCTCGTCGACTGGGATCCACATGGAATTGATATTCTGCTGACATACAAGCTCGGCAGCATTAGCATGCTTCACGAGAAAGACACCCTAGCTGCGTCCAGAGTGCAATGGCTGGGCATATACTCCTCGGACGTACTCAAGTGAGAGGGCTTCGGTCGCACAGATAATGATCCCGCTAACGCGGTTTTGCGACAGTATGGAGGGCAACGACGATTTATGGATCGACATGACAATTCACGATCGAAAGAAAGTACGTTTAGCCGAATTACATTCTCTCTGGTGGCTCACGATCTTAGGCGCTGGCTATACTTGAACGAGGTGGAGAAACCTCACCGCCGCCCGAAATGAGGTTGGTTTCCTACCAGAATCTCAAAGCCATTGTCCTCTCACCAAGCAAATAAAGGCGCGAGCTCGAGCACATGTTGCTGACAGGAAGAAAAGCTGAAATCGAGATTATTGCTTCGTCATCGTCCAATACAAGCGTAGCTGAACGCGTGGACAAAGGCTGCGGTCAAGATACCATCGTGGAAGGCACGGATACAGCTTCGATGAATGCAGAGCGCCGGATTATCAATCACAGTTCAAATACGTCCTCTACCATAGGCCAAAATGGTCAAACTTTAAATGTGCATCCATTGACGGACTACGTTAGCAAGAAAGTGGTACTGGCCTTGGGATCTGCGGTTCCATCCGCGATTACTGTACCTCACGTTTAACGACTTTGATTGCTGCTCCGCCTTGCGAGTCCCTACCGAGACCCCCTTTGCCGTTTCAATGCGCATGCGCTCGTTGCAGTTACAATTTCATTCGATGTATGAATAGTATAACAATTACAATGGAATGCATAACGAGATGACTGAGAGACATGCGAGATACGAAATAACGAATGATGAGCATGCGACATAGCAAAGGTTCGTTGGTCTTCGGTGAAAGCTGGGATGCATAAATAGGGCCCGAGTACCCTTTCAGTCCTCCATGGCGTCGTCGAACACGTCGCTGTTCGAAAAGGCATTATTGGCCTTCGTGCTTCTGCGCATCTTCGAGCACTCCCTAGCATAGATCGCCAGTAATTCTTCATCCATCACGTCACCGGAATCTCCTCTACTTCCATCTGTGTTGGCGACATCGACGCCGAGACCACGAAGGACCTCTTCTAGCCTGGTCCCTTCAGTCCACCTAGCAGTCTCCCTACTAGTCTTGGTGTTCGCGCCGGTGAAGCTGGTGGAGCGCTTGAACGTAGCCTTCATGAAATTTGCCCGCGTGGATGAGGCCGAGGAACCGTTGAGCGACACAAGACCATTGGTCTCGAGGACGCCGAGCAGATCAACAAATTCGGTTCGCGACACTGGGGAAAAGACGTCGTTGCCAGTGGAACTGATGAGAGTGGCATAATAACCATAGAGGGATGAGCTCTCGACGCAGTCGCGGCTAACCGGCGATGGGCAAGAAAAAGTAAAGGAGGGAGAGGATCGCTTGGTCGGGCTTCTCGGTTTCTTCGGAGAACTGGGAACATCTGATATTGAGAGGCCAGCCTCGAGGCGTTTGATGGCAAGCGCGAATGAAAGAAGGGCCAACCGCGCTTGCAAGCCGAGATTACGGACTTTCGTCACTAATTCGCTAGCCGTGGACGGTGTCGGACCGTTTCGTAGGTTTGATGCAGGTGCATATGCCTTCAGCGCGTCGAGGACATGTGACGGGGTTACCGTGGGCGCCTTATTTGGTGACACGTCCGCGGTCTTGGGAGAGGAAGAGTGGGGAGGATACGAAGCCGCCGCAAGATCGATGGCACCACGGAGAACCTCGAAGACTGCGCGAACGTCACCCGTTTGCGCAGCCACCTTTTTGCTCAGTAACATCAAGGTCGAGGGAGGTAAGAACTTTTTGGCCTGCTGCTCGGAGTCGGGAGCCTCCAGTATCGGGGACAAGCGGCGTTTGAGAATTGACAGGAGATCGTCCGAGGAGTACGGGGCGAAATGCAAAGTTTGTACACCCAGCCCAGAGTATTCCCGCGCGTTCGAAGAGGCAGACGTCAAGGTATGGGTGTTTGCTATACCGATGAGCCGAAGCTTGTCGTTTTGTGTGTTTGCGAGGGAGAAAAGGCTAGCAAGCGCCTGGGGGCTGCTAATATGGTCGAGCTCGTCGAGTACAACAATACTGTCAATCCAAGCTCATGAGCTAAGACGAGAGGACAGGAGAAAAGATTGACACACCATTTACATTGCGAAGAGGAAAGAGCGGATGCTACAGCATCCTGGCAGGCTTTGGGTTTACGCCCCCTGACCCCAACTACAGAGCGAAGTTCTTCGGCCAAGCGACTCCACAGATCATCGATGGTCTTCAAAGCCATGCAATTGATCTTAAGGAGGTGCAATACTCGCGTCTTTGCGATGTCATGAAGTACTGCATCGACCAGCGCGGTTTTGCCCGTCCCTGGGGTGCCGGATATGTACAATGTTGACACGGGATCGGTTTCAGTCGCAACATCACCCTCAAGGAAGGAGTCGGCAAAGTGAAACACGACAGCCTGTTCAGCCTCACGCCCAACGATGCCAGCATTATGGGTACCGACTCGCAGAAGGGCACGCGCACGTGACTCGAGGGTATGTGTCGAAGTAGATGGGGTTGGTGGAGGTGTAGCGATGGACAAGGCCGCGAACTCTGACGTGCCAAACGTCGAAAACCTTCGTACAGCTACATATCAATGAGATTAGCCCAACTATCCTTCTTCGGAGATCACGGTGCAAAGGTGGACTGACCAGGACGACGCGAAGGTGTGACTACTGTCGTGCTCACGGTACGCCGGAGCGATCGCGTCCGGGAGAGAGAAGGCGAGGCTGGCGTAGCCTGCAAACCTCGTAGCGGTGGTATATTTTCCTTGTTGTTGTGACCATCGCTGATTACCACCGTCGGCGACGTCTTCGCGCGTTTCGCGTCGGGCGTCGGCTGAGGTGTCAGCGGTGCTGCGTCACACACAGCTGAGCTGGGGCTCTCGTCTCGTGGCAGAGAACGCTTCCCAAGAACAGTGTTTCGCGTACTGCGACGCGTGCTACGAGTTCTACGCGGTGTATCCATCGATGTAGGCTGGGATGGGGAGGAGGGAGGAAGCGGAGTTCCAAACTCGGTCGGATAACCATGATATATTGTCACGTGAAGTGCGCGTCGCGTCGCGGTCGCGTGCCGTCTAATTAGCGTTTATATATCTGATCACGCGTTCTGTTTTCCATCGACATTCCCTCGTATTTTCGACGCTGTAGACCGTGCGGGGTCGGAAACGATTCTAACAATAGGCCATATCTGACAACAACCATGTCCCGGGGCTGCCTGGAATTGTTTGCAGCTGGTGTTCAGGTAGACAACACGCCGACGGCAGTCTATTATTGAAGTTGTACTGGCACGCAGACGCATCGCAAACGCGGTGTTTTCAGGCCGGAACGCCGTCGAGTGACCTCGGCGATGTGTTCAAGACATGAAAATTGCGTGCCGGCGGTTCCGTTCTCTCGCGCCCTGTTTAACTAGCTCTGTTTGTCCAGCCAAGCCCGGCGCGTGTGAATGCGCGTTACGTTTGCAGCACAAACATAGTTTACTATACCCATGGCACGCTATCCTCGTACCGTCATGAACTGCGCGGTGCTATTTGGTCCTGATGCCCAGAGCAGGCCTCCCTAGTACTTAGATGATGGAAGCGAAACGCAATCGGTAGCCTCGACCCCCCTAGACGCTGCGATGGACTCGAGGACACGGGCTTTCTGGACGCCCGTGGTGCTCAGTAACACTGTGCTCGCAGCTTCATTTCCTAGAAGGTATTACTTGGACACCGTCGCTGATTCGCACCATAACTGATATCCATGTAGCCCTGATAAAGGCCGCGGCCGAGACGGCAATGGCAACGGGGGCGGCGGCGGCGACGGCGATGGACACGGCGATGGCGACGGCGAGCAAGGCGGAATTCCCTCGGATGCTGCCCAGCCAACGCAATCCCCTGACAGCGGCGACGAACCGGAACCAGGCGATCCGGACCATACCGACCCAGGCACTGTGCTTCCCGACGCGTCCCTGACAGCCACCTCGCTGGTGACCAGCAACACGAGCGTCGTTTCACCAGCTGCAAACAACCTCGCTGTCGCGCATAGTTTTAGCACAAGCGAGGCCGTGACCATCGCGGTTGGTATCATTGTCCTGCTCCTTCTCGCCTTCTTCGGCTTCTTCCTCTGGAAACGCCACCAGTGGCATAGGAAGGAGTGGGCACGCCGCAGGGCCGCATTAGGCTATCGCTATCGCAGTCGGAGTCGCACTCCCAGCCCACCCGGCTTAGGAACGTCGTCCCCACCGCCACGCAGCTATAGGTCCGGGGGACGCCCACGAGCACTCAATTCGACCATGACGACAGCCTGTGGACGAGGGTACATCATCGTGTAGATGGGGACGGAAGTTTGGAGGGGCTCGTGTCGGCGGATCAACGATACTGAAGGGGAATGCCTCTCTATCGCCACTCTGCAGCATCTGGGCGCATAAAGATCAAGGACTTGCACTTGGCACGTACACCATAATTCACTGTATCCTCTCTCCATGCGATCGATGTCTGTCTATATCTCCACTCCGTGTGATTCGTATATGCTTGCAGGGTGTCGGCTTCAATAGTGGACTCGCCGGTATTCGGGGACGGCCTGGGCCGATATCTCATACTTGACTTTTTGAATCGTTCTTCTCACTCAAGCGCAGCGTGTCTGCGGAGTGCGATGCGACTCCGACGCAGTGGATACATCGCATGGGCGATTAAGGTATGGTTCATAACCTCAAGATTTTCTTGGAACCCCCGCTCGGACCTTGGCGACTACCCGAGCTCATCACCATTCCGATGCCGACAACTAGGGCACCCTTGTCTGCGATAGTTGACTTCACCATGCTCATTGGACCTGTGCACGCTGCGGCACTATCTATGCGACGCCCGTAAGTTAGTCATTACTAGATGCGTGATTGGTTAATGAGACGGAAGTAGGCCAAATAAAGGCGGCGGAGGAAGCGACAGCGACAGCGACGACGACGACGATAAGTCAACCTCGTCGAACGTGAGTCCGACGTCGCCGACAAGTAGCCCTGCTACGACGAGCAACGCTCAGACAGCAAGTGTCATGTCGAGCACCAGTTCGATCGAGTCGGCGGTGCCTACTTCTTCCTCGTCGTCCGACGTCCCTCCTACAACCCTCGGACCCTCAAGCCCTACTATGACGGCCGTGGTACCTCCAAATACCCAGGGATCCTCAAACGGATCATTTGTGACTAGTCACAACGGTCTGAGTACGGGCGCTGCCGTGGGTGTCATCGTCGGGGCGGTCGCGGTGATTCTTCTCCTCGCGGCATGCCTGCTTCTCATAAGGCGACGACGAAGACAATCGCAAACGCCGGGGGCAGCGGTACCGGCCGAGTCGGGAGGCGCGAATGGTCTTCGGGCTCTAATCACAGCACCAGCTCCGGCGTACGCATCGAACGGACACGGATCCGGGTCGCTTCTCGTCTCCCCGGACTCGTCATCGTCGGAAGGGACGAAACCCGGGTCGGTGTCGGCCTTCCCACCTTCGCAGTCCGGGGGCTACTTCGCGGGGCTGCCCTCGTCTACGGCACCCTCGGACGCCGCATCGCAGGTGGCACATAGCCTCGTCAGCATGGGCCCCTCCGCCTCCGTTTCAGTTGCCGGAGGACCATTGCCTGCTGCTGCGCTCGAGGTCGAAGCTCCCCCGCAGTACGAACCGCAGCAACCGCAGATGTCCCAGGTCGAATGGACACATCCGGCCAGTCTGCCAGCGAGCGTCCCGGCGAGCGTGGTGACCAGCGTCCAAAGTCGGTATTGAACGCCTGGCATGCGTGTGTTCCGGTGTGTATTCCGCAGTCCTGCCAAGAACCATGTCTTCTCACCTGCAGTGCCACAACGGAAACAGTGGAGACTTTTTGGAAGCGGTTCGCGTACACGCCCAGAAGGACAGGCGCAAAATAGACTGTAGGAGAGACGTGGTCGACTGCTGCGGTCTTCCGGCCTCAGGCATACCTTCCATGAATGCCCTGTCGACGCTCGCAGGATGATGTTCCCCACCCTACTCCATATCTGCGTGAGTTGGACGATGATTCGAGCATACGCCGTAGCTGCGCCATCTCCAGCGGTCATCGAGGGCAGAAACGAGTACGTTGCGCAAACACCAGTCGTATGGCTATGACGAACCATGCATTTTCGCAGCGGCGGCGGCAAACACGGAGATGGCGACGACCACCCGAGCAGCACGGCCTCGACGCCCACTTCCGCAACACAATCTCAGCCCTCAACCGGGGGCGTCGCCGACCTTGCGAAGTCCGGCAACAAGCTCTCCTCGGGCGCGATAGCCGGGATAGTCATCGGCGTCCTGGCCTGCGCCCTCATTGCGCTCGCTGGAGCCTTCCTGTGGCGACGCCACCGCCGGCACTTGCAACAGCGGCAGGCGAGGAGGAACATCCTCGCTGACCCATCTTTGACGGCAGTCGACGGTGCAGGGTCCATGCAGGACCTGATGTCAAGTTCACCCCGGCGCGTATCTTCCGACGCCGGCGCCACGCTGTCGCACGCAACCAGCTCCGTCATCTTATCGACTCTGGCGCCGACGGTGTTAACGAATCCTTCCATGCCCTCCGACGTGAAAGCCGGACGCTCTCCGATGCACTTGCCCCTGCATGTGGTGGGTGGTGTCGGAACATCGGATGGCCCGGGTGAAGTACGGAGGCTCCAGGCGCCTATAGAGGAAGCCGGCGCAGTGCCGGGGGCAGAGCCGTTGGGGATGGCGAGCTCGGATCCACCGCCGGATTACCAGATGTCCGGAGTAGAATGGAGCAGGCCACTGTCGCCTGGGACGAGCACGGAGGTTCAGGCGAGCGGAATCAGGGGCGATGGCCAAGAGGCCGCGGCGCGAGATGGACATTCTTGAGGCATCAAACGAGAAGAGTAGCGATTTGGCGATAGTCATCTCGATGCAGTCATGTCCTTCGTATGTTATTTGCATGACACGATTATGTCCCGGACAATTGGGTCGATACACTGAATACGAAACACCGCGCTGTGTATCCATTTGATAGTGTGGCAACAGCAATACAATGAACAGGATCACGTAGCAATAAGGCGTAGCAGCCCCGAGCGAATATAAACATTATGCTTTGATCTAACGAGAACGTTTTGCGTGTTAGATTCTGCGAACGAAAGGATGAATAGAAGACAAACGTACACCGAAACGCTCCGCGCGCTTTTTTCGCCTCTCGAGCTCCTCCGGATCGAGCTGCTCCGCAGGCGTACCACGCTTCTGACCACGTCCAGCACCGGCACCGGACTTCGGCGAGCCTCTTTCCGTCTTGCCTGTCGTGGCGTCTGTCTTGGCTTTGTCCGGAATACCAAAGCGCGCAGCGCGGGCTGCCAGCTTTTCCGGGTCCTATACCACGCACGCACAGGAGGGATTAGCCGACGCGTCGGGCGGTATGACGTCCAAGGAAAAACGTACTTCTCCCACCGCGGCCTGGGTCGGCACACCCTTGGTAGACGCCTTACGCTCACCCGGACCAGGACGCTTGTTCCCGGTTTTGGCAGGAGGCGGCGCCTTCGGCTCTACCATTGGTATGCCAAAGCGTGCGGCGCGTTTCCGCCGCTTCTCGGCTTCTTCGTCGACGGGCGCAGTGTCCGTGGCCACAGGTGCGGGAGCCTCCACCACAGCTGACGTGGCCGCGGAAGCAGGTGCTGTGGATGCGGGAGGAGCCTGAAAGGGGTTATGGTTGGAACAGGACGCGGGAAGTGGCGTCACTCACGGGGTTCGAGGTTGACGGCGGCGGGTGCGAAACGGTATTGCTGGACGGCGCAGGCAGTTCCTCTTCGATCCTGCTGTATTGTCAGAGATCGACACGCGGTACGACGACGCATGTTTCGCGTACTGTTCTGGCTCTATCTGTGGAGGACGTCAGCCATACACGCACGAAGACGCGACTATTGACGCGTACTATCTCGTCTGTCGTTGCCGTGGGAGTCCCTGAGGGCGGTTTCTCGCCATGGATGCTGTTGTACACGTCGACTGCCGACGGGTTGTTGAGGATGGCGGCGACGAGGTCGGCCTTTTTGGCGCCTTTGGCAGGGGCGTTCGCCTTGGAAAGGATGTCCTTGAGGTCGACGACCTTGAGCTTTTGCCTGGGATAGGGCCGGGCGTGTCAGTGAGCGGCTCGGCGGGCAAGACGAGGAGGACGGCGCACAGTTTGGCTTCCATGACGGTGCGGAGGAGAGCTGTGCGGCACTGACAGTGACGGTGGCGGGGACAGTGATGCTGATCTGGTGACGGTGCGACTGTGGGGGCGGTGCTTCCGAGTGCCCAAGCGCGCCCGTCGTCGACCAATCAGTGGATCGTCCGTTGCGATTGGGCAGCGGCAAGGATGGATAACGTCTTTCAGTCATACGGCTTTGGTCAGTCCAGCCGACTCCGGGAATAGCCTGCACTCACCACCTCCTCCTCGCCAGCCCCCCACACCCTCTACCAGGGCCACACCTTCTACCCGCAGCCCCAACAGCCCCACCAGCCCTCCCCCGCACCGACCCCCGCGCCCCCGACCCAGCAGGATGCCTTTCTGCCTGCGATAGACAGTCCCCAGCCGCCCCCGGAGGCGCCGCCGCCCCCGCAGGATGACCAGCCGATGGACGAGGAGCCGCTCTACGTCAACGCGAAACAGTACTATCGCATCCTCAAGCGGCGCGTGGCCCGCGCTCGTCTCGAAGAGGTCCACAGGCTGTCCAAGCAGCGCAAGGTGCGTCTTGCCCAGGGTACCGTCTTCGAGCGCGCGCTGATCAACCGTCGTAGCCGTATCTGCACGAGTCGCGCCATCAGCATGCCATGCGTCGTCCGCGCGGACCGGGCGGGCGATTCCTCACCGCGACCGAGATCGCTGCCCAGCAGAAAGGTGCAGAGGGCGTCGCCTCCGGCTCCAGAAACTCCGCCTCCCCCATTCAACTCGATGACGACGCCGATGATGACGATCGTGCCGCCGACTCGCCCGCGGCGATGGACCAAGGCATCCAACCTAACGCGACGATGCTACACGTGGACGCGAGGCAGCAGCAGCAGCAGCACGACCCTCAGCCTCAGCCTCAGCCACCAATCCTACAGCGACTGCTGCCCCAACAGCAGCACCCAATTGCCCCACAGCAGCACCAAGTTGCCCAACAGCCGCATCCGCAACCGCACCAGCAACAAATTCAATTGGCGCAACCCATGGCGCGTCCGCAGCACCAGATTGCTATCCAGATGAAGCAAGAGTCCCAGCCTGGAACACCCATGTTGCCCCAGGGCAACGCCCCGGCGGGCTTCCAGCCCCAATCAGTGGCCAGACCCGATGCGTATGCACAGATGCCGCATCCCGGGTACCGCCCCTTGACCGCGTCCGTATCGGCGCCAACACCCACCCCCAACAGGATGCCCCCGTCGTTTACACCCGCCGAGCACGTCCCGAACATCTCGCACACCCCCGTCCAATCTCCCAACCCGCAGAACGGCATGCAGCAACCCCTCCAACCGCAGCAGCCTCAGGCACACCAGATACCCTCCCACGGCCACGCCCATCCGCACGGGCGCCACCCGCACCCGCACGCCCATCCGCACCCTCATCCGCATCAGCAGCAGCAGCAGCAGCAGCAGCAGCAGGTGCAGCAGCACGTCGCGGACGCGTCGGTCTCTCCATGGGCCCAGCACTCGGCGCCTCAGCAGCCGCCGCCTCTGAACCGTACACCGTCGTCGACTCACCGCGGCCACATGCATCAGCGTTCGCAACAGGCACCGCGCAGCCAGCAAATGAACGTCCGCTCTCCGTACGACGCCATGCAGATGCATCACGTCCCACACCCCCACGCACACGCGCGACACCACCACAGGGGACTCGTCCGTGAAAGCGTGTTTAACAATGCCCGGAACGGCGCCACCGCGGATCTTAACGCAGGCGCCGTTACCGGTGGGTCGCAGCCGGAAATACAGTTCGGAGGCGCCGCGTCATGAGCAGCGCCAGATTGGCTACATGTTATGTGAACGAATCGTACAGCTTCCTTGTTCCTCTGCTTTCAGGTGCTTTTAGGCTTAGTTTGCCGGTTTCCCTTCGTCCCCAATTGTTAGTAGAATCTTTGTCACGGTGATAGCTATATGCATAGGCAATGTCAATTTTGTCAGAAGTCATAACTCTTCTATGTCCATTGCATCGTCATCCGGGACGTCCTGATATATGTTGAGTGGAGAATCCACGACTACGGCGTCATCGGGAAGCTCCTCTATGTGAGCAGTACTCTCCAGCTCGGGCAAGTCATCGGCGTCATACAGTCCTGAACGACCGATAGGCCGAAACAGAACGAGCGCCTGACTATCGTCTTGCCTCGCCACAGGCAAGGGAGGGCCGGAGCCGGACTTCAGCCGTCTCAGGAGCGCCTCGGAAATCTCGTAATCACTCGGCCGCTTCCGGTCCCACCGTTCGTCTTCGTCCTCGTCTAAAGATGAAAGGTCGGTGATTACAACTCCTGGACGGAGACACTGTTAGACGGGTGGACTGAAGCGGAGTATGAGCGGACTCACTGTCTTTCTCGGGCTCGTACCACGACCCGTTAGACATGCTGACCTCCGGAGCCGTCTGCTCCGGGGAAACGGGCTCTTCCACAGACGTTGGAAGCACCACTACCGGTGTCGTATCCGACGTCTGCATGTCCATTTCAGAGTATAGAGGGGTAATAGGGGTAATATGCGGCGGTTGCTGGCTTGATCCCGAGGCTGAGGTGGGCGCTGCCTCGCAACCGGCGGAGGGTTCGGTCACGATGCCTCGTGACGGCCATGGTGATGAAGGGACGTGGTTGAGGGTGAGGTGAGCGAGGCCATGCTCCAGAGGGTCACACCTCCGACGTTTTGCGTGGAAGGAGGCTGGTGAAGAGGCGTCCGTATCTGAGTAGTCTGTTGGGGTGGAAAGCTTTCGCTTCAGGGAGGGCATGACCCACGGATGGCGCATAGGGTATTCCCAGCTCGTCGTCATCGTTGAAGACGTTAAGCGCGGTCGCAGAGGTACGATCGCGTACTTAAAGGGAGGGAGCGCCGAATGTTCAAGAAACTTCCACGTGACTCTTCACAAAATAGGCCATTGGTCCAAGCAGCCCAACACTCACTCCCAGGGCCATGGGCCAGTCTTAACGCAGTGCGATCAGGGTGAAGTATACGTAAATGCATATGCAAGCGACATGGAGAGCGTGTTGCAATAAGTGAGGGAGCATACAAAGGCCCGACATGACATCCGTCCAAGTGAACACCTAACCGCGCTTCTTCGACACTCCAACGGTTTTTCCACGGCGACCTATGTTGCGCATGAGAAGTTGTCGCCTTGCAGATGGAGAATGACGCACCGGTGGTCTTTGTGTGTTGACCACGTACGCGGAGGCCCCAGAAATGACGGAGACCACGGTGCGCCCGGATCTTCTTCAGACGCTCGAGATCATCACGGAGCTTCGAATCAACGCCATTGGAAAGAATCTGCGAGTTCTTGCCGTCGACGATGTCCTTTTGCCTGTTCAGGAACCATGTCGGGATCTTGAACTGGGTGGGGTTTTGGATGATGGTGACAACCCGCTCGAGCTCGTCCGAGTTGAGCTCGCCAGCGCTGAATAGACAATCAGTGCGCTACCCCTGCCGCTGCCTCATCACTCCATACCGCTTGTTAAGGTCGACGTCCGCCTTCTTGCAGACGATGTTGGCGTATCGCCGTCCGACACCCTTGATCTCGGTCAAGGCGTACATGATCTTGCGCTTGCCGTCAACATTGGTGTTGAGGAGACGCAAGATGTGCTATAGCCCCCCGCACACATGAGATACGACGTCACTAACGGGGAAGATTACTAACTTGGAATTGCTGGTGGGCTTCGGGGACAACGAGAGACATGGTGCAGGATGGATGTGAACCCTGTGAGCGAGCATAGTTAGCCTGGCTTCATCCAAAGTCCAATGGCTCAATCCATCGCAAATCGGCCGTTTCAAGCGCTCCAAATTGGTGAACGCGACTGCTGGAGCGAGAGACGCCGATAAAAATGACGATCTGGTCGTTCTTCACTTACCCTGGTGCTCAGCCTAGCGGTCGGTAGGAGGTGGGGAGGTTGCTCGGAGAATGCCGCCTGCGGAGGAGCCCAAGGTCACAGCCACATCGGCGCCTATTCTCAAGTAATACTATATGCCACCGGGATTTCGTCATCACCGGGATTTCGTCACTTTTTGCGCATCTCGCTAGCTACCTCATGTATCGCTCTCATTTTTTGAATGTATGGTATTAGGCACTATCCAAACACCCTCCTGGCACTTCTGAGGAGTAACAGAGCTTCAGAGACGCTGTATGCGAGTTCAAGCTTTGTCACGCCGTGCATGCATGCCGAGCTGTGCCGCGATGGCAGCCGAGCGGACCTCGAAATCCTGCAAGCAACGGTGCTGCGTCGACGCGCTCGACAACACTCACTCTGGATCAATTCATGACATACAACCATCCATGTCCGGGCCTGTAAGGCATAGGCAAGATACAGTAGACTCTCAGTTTGAGAGAAAGATAGATCTTGCCAAAGAAGGCCTCCAAAACGGGACATACAAAAATGTTTCGGCTGCTGCTCGGGCGCTCGGGGTGACCTGGACATGGTATCTGGATCATCCAGAAATAATACTAACTGGTTGTCTGTTGGATAGGTTGCTCGAAATACACTGAATGACCGTGTTCGGGGTATTCACCAAAGCCGCCATGTCGCAAAAGAGAAGCAGCAAGCACTCAAGCATGCCGAAGAACAGACCCTTCTTGATTGGGTTGACACCGAAGCACAGAAAGGCCGTCCCTACGATGTGACGCAATTACGAGCGCGTGCAACGGAGCTGGCTGGCAGAGAGCTTGGGAGATGGTGGCATAAGCGGTTCGAGGACCGGCATGCCGACGAGCTGACTACCGCCAAAGCTACTGGTCTTGACCCGTCGCGAGGAAAGAACTTTAACCGGCCAATCATCAATGAGTACTTCGAGCTTGTTAAGGGGCTAATTGACAAACATGGTCCCATTCCAGCGTCCAATATCTGGAACATGGATGAGAAGGGCATCCAACTCGGTGGTGGTCGTAAGCAAGGAAAGAAGAAATTCTATTTCTTCAAGAAGAGGAAGCAGCGTTACAAGATCCGCTCCGACAACCTGGAGCTCATAACACTTCTAGTGTGTTGTGCGGCAGATGGGACCACGGCGAAGACGACATTTGTGCTCTCAGACGGACCGTACCCAAATATCTGCGGTGTTCAGGGTGTAGGAAGGTATGATACCATGCTGGCTGTATGAAACTTGGGAGCAAAGTGTCTGAATCATTCATCAGTGTCGCTGTGACCCCTTCGGGGTGGACAGATCAGGATGTCGCTGCGGATTGGATAGCCAATGTCTTCATTCCGGCTGTGCGGATTCATTCTGACATCACGAAGCCGATCTTGCTATTCATTGACGGGCACGACTCGCATGAGGCCGATGAGATCAAAGCGGCCCTGTAGTCATCAGGAAACACCCCCTCTGTGAATTAGTATCATAAAGGGCCAACAATGTCAAGTAATTACTAGACCATCCATGTAGATAAAGCTGTATTGGGACCTTTCACAGTATATACCAGCACATACCAGCACAGAAGTACAAAAAGTAGGAAATATGGAAGGTCCCCCTGAGCATATGTCACATTTTTGGTGAAATGTGTACAAATATGTGGATTTTTATTCACTTTTTGGGCATATTTTGGTGATCTGCAACATCCATGGGCTCTCAAATATGATATATTGTGGCTCAAATATGACCATAAACATGTCACATCTTGTTAGATATCTTCAGAATTTGGTCATTGGTACATGACATTACATCCACCATTAT